ACCATTTCAAAAATTTCTACATGCACAGTTCAGTGACATTGACTACGCTCTTCAAATTGTGCTGTTATAAGTTTGTTGGATCTCTTAAGGTTAGGTAGGTATTATTGTAGATTCACTCTGGCTTTTTGTTTTGACAGAATGTCAAGCAAAGAGGTGAAGACGGCTCTGAAAAGTGCTAGAGATGCAATCAGAAACAAAGAATACAAAGAAGCTTTGAAGCATTGTAAGGTAACCTACTTTTTTACCCCACGATTAAAGTATGTTAGCCATATACAAGCATTATCTATCTGTAATATGTGAATCATTTACTGTCCAAAAACAACAAAAGTGCTAAAGCTATTTAGTGTAACTGTTTAGAGTGGTTGGGCTAATAACTCTCAATTAGTGGGATAAACTACTGCTGTCACACTTAATTTCATCTTTCTTTATGTTGATCAAAGCCAAGCTCTCAAAGCCTGAATATCTCCGAAGTATCCTTTGATGGCCTGTATTATGGAACACTACTGTCTCCTAAAGTTTTCATTCTTTAATGGTGTGTTGACATTCTAAATCTATTTGGTTTGTGGATGGGAGAATCAAGATTCTAAAGCTCCTTTCTATGCGGATGGGAATGTTCCAGTCTCAAGGAGGAAACTGATGATGCAGGAGAAATAGAAGGTGGTGGTATTAACAGGAGGAAAGATAGGTGCAGTTCCATATGGTGTCAGATAGGTGTGTAGGTTTGGTGGTGGAAAGATAAGAGCGTCCCCTCTGATGACTTCTATTTTCTTAGGGAAGAATAAACTGAGAGTGCGGGAAGAGTTGTATAGAAGTCTTGAGATACAAGAAAATATGAAATAGTTGTTATTCGGAATGGGAAAACAAACTTACTAGTAAAACATAGAAGAATTGCTAGGCCTTAGTGCTCATTTGTGACAGTGAAATCAGTGAGCTCAGCTGTGTAGTTTTCTTCCTCCATGTTCAGCTTCTCAGGCTTGGAGATGGGGGATACTGGGGTTCAAGTATGGATGGTGAGAAAGATGAGAGAAAGATAGGCAGAGGAATTGATACTTGCCTGGGTGTGATGACAGCGATGATCATGGAGTCTATGCTGGGGGAGGAGGGGTGAGAAATGAGAAGTAGGTATGGATAGTGGGGAAAGGGAGTAGGCTCAGTACTTGGAGATATCAGAGGTTAAAGAATTGTTATCATGTAGTTATTAGAGTAATATAAGTTAGGGGAACAGGAAAGGGGCAGAATAGTAGCATGCTGGAAATCCAGATTTTGGATGGCTGAATAGTGTAGAGGCTAAGTAACTGAGAGGATACAGTTTTCAATGGATCATGAGTGTGAATGTTAAAATGATTACAGGAATTGAGGTTGAGAGGAAGGGAACAAAATCTTTACTGAAGAAAAGTGTTCTTAGGAGGTTGGTAGATGGTAGTAGCAATAAGAAGGATATTATTAGGTGGTACAGGTGAATGACTTGAGCTTCAGTGGGACTGGGATTTTTGAAGGAGGGAGGAGCAGAAAAGGAATGTAGGTGATAGTGTGAGCAAGGAGAACCTTTCCTAACCTATCATATAGTGGAATATAAAGGAAAAGAAATCAACTGCAGCATGTAAGAGCTATAGGAGAAGAACCAAGTTTCAGTTGAAGCAGGACTTGGTGCAGTTAAAAGAATAAGAGAAAAGGCTGAAACTATGTAGGGAACTTGGCTGAGCAAGATGGAGAGTTCCAGAGGGCATAGTGAAGAGTTTAGGATAGTGGGAGGGAAGGAATTGGGTACGACTTGGGGAAGTATACAGCCATATGGGGAAGAGTGTTGGGAGGGGGGTAAAAGATGCCCGTGTGAGGTTTAGGCTTCTAGTGGTGACTGAGCCTAGCAGGCTTGTGAGGCCATGATGGAATCAGTCCTGATATAGAAGAAGGTGGCAATTTGCTCAGTCTGTAGGGCTGGGGCTGGGGGTGGGGGTGAGGGGGTGCAGGGACTGTTTCCTTCAGCCCTGGGTTTATCTAATTTATGCACATATGAGTCTGTTTTTATTATTATATACAGCAGCACTACAGCACTCTTTAGGATTTCTACAAAATTCAGATAGGAATCCCACCAAGTACATAGTTTGTAATTTATCCTGGAGAGACCCAACTAGAAAACACAAAAATGAGAACCTAATCAGTGGTAAATGCTCAATTAGTTGTGTGTAGTAACCCAGAATATTGAGACTAAATGAATTTTTTAATAAAGAAATGCTGCATCTTAGTGTATTTGCTGCGGTCTTGTCCGATCATCACCTTGTCTGCCTGTGTACCTTTATAACTCAGTGTAAGCATCCCTTGAGGAAAACCTCTGACATGTGCAGACATAGCTGCTTTTTTCTCTGTGTTCTCTTATAACCTGATACTTGCTTTCACCGCATTGTTGTAATTATTTGCTTAAAAATCTGTGTCAGGTTCTGGAAAACTGCTCATCAGGCAGATGGAAGGTACTCCTGGAAGGTAGCGGGTTGACTATGGTATTTTTCATTGGTTCAGCAGTTATGTGCCATTGGGCTTGGTGTTGGGGACACAAGCACAAATAAGGCTCCAGTGACTGTCTTCAGAACTTAACTTTGGTAGATGTCTCACTGTTGTTAGTTTTTTAGTAGGCAGCTTTATTGGGTAGAACGAAGCTTGTGCTGTAGATTGGTATCAAATTGCTGGAAGTATGCTGTGAATTTACGTAAACCTAATAATCTGTCTGGTTCAACTCAGAAATGTTCTTGTTTTCTCTAGATATATATAAATACTTAAAGGGCTAATTTCATTTTAGCTACTTGTTTTGTTTTTCTTTCCCTAGAACATCTTTGCTTTCTGCTCCAAACTATTTTATTTTACCAAGTAATTTTTATTTCTGAAAATAATATCTCTACATGTAATTTTTATTCTAGATGACAGTTACTGTTTAAATATTCATCACTACTATTTATTTTGAACATATTTGGTACAGTCACATTGGGATGAATCTACTTTCCTAGCCTATAATTTCAGTGAACAATCTGGGGAAAACGTTATCATGGTAAAGGAAAATATGGGAGTTGGATAAGGTGAAATAATATGGAGAACAGTTTTGTGAGTTGACCAGTAGCAGTCTGGAGGCAGCTGGGTTGGTCAGGTATTGAGAACAGGCTTATTGTTCTTTTTATATCTGGTATTCTCAAGAAATAGCCCTGGTGATGCAGTGGTTAAGCACTCAGCTGCTAACTGAAAGGTGGGCAGTTCAAACCTACCAGCCTCCATGGGATGAAGATGTGGCAGTCTGCTTCCGTAAATATTTACAGCTTTGGAAACCCTATGGGGCAGTTCTGCTCTGTCCTGTAGGGTCACTATGAGTTGAAATTGACTTGATGGCAATGAGTATTGGGTTTATTCTCAAGGAGCTGGGAAGGGAATTTGGGGAAAGCACTGGAATCACTTGGGCAGCTTTTAAAATATATACCTCATATGCCATCACTGATCTAGTTCAACTCCTTCTCTCCCTATGAGCAAACTGAAGACCAGAGAGGTTAAGTGACCTTCTTAAGTTCACCCAGTTAGCGGTTGGTCCAATTTCCAGACTCTCAGATAGACTGTCTTTTTGTTGTTGTTGTTTATTAGTTTTCAAAATTTAATGACCTGTTCTTTTAATTTCTTTAATCAGGCAGTTTTAAAACAAGAGAAAAATAACTACAACGCCTGGGTTTTTATTGGTGTTGCTGCAGCCGAGCTAGAACAACCTGATCAGGCCCAGGGTGCCTATAAGAAAGCTGCTGAACTAGAGCCAGACCAATTACTAGCATGGCAGGTAAGTAGAATAAATTTTTTTCTATGTTGTAGGAAAGGATTTTTTTTTCATTTATCAAAATATAGGTCACACCTTTAAAATATGCATTTAAACCTCCATTTATCCCATATAAGAAAAAGTTTTAATTTCTTGATCTTTTAAACCTGAAAGTTAAAAAAAAGTGGTGCCAAGGATACTGTTTACCACTATTTAGCAGCCAACTTAATGGATTATTTCCAAAATATGAGGACTTTAAACATGATTATATAAATCACCAACTTAATTATGCATGAACATAAGACTTAGCCAGAATATTCTCCTTTATGTTTACCTGAGGGTAAAGAAATGTATATATTACTAGGTTTTCTAAAAATAAACTAACAAAAAATTCTATATCTTTGAGTACAAGTTAAATTCTTTTTTCTTACTTAGGGGTCTTAATGTTTTTTAGGCTACTCTTCAACTTTTTCATACTTACTAACTTTGATTTGTTTCACATCCCAATCACATCTCTGAAACTAGGACTAAAATAGGAGGTAGTATGCTCTGGAGAACATGAGCCCGTTTGTCTCAGGTTCCCATGAAGAAGAGAGTGAGTAAGGGTGTCTGGTAACACCCTTAGAAAGATGACTGCTTTCATAATGTCCACAAAATAATTGAATGTTTTTTGTCTGACCGTATCATAAAAGTAGTGTCGTATAGTTTTTTTATTTGTGCTTTCACCTATTTCTTCCCATCCAGCCTATTTGGAGGCAAATCTCAGATTTTTCATCTATAAATTATGATCTTTTATCATAAAGAATCCTTAAAAATGATCACTTTAGCAAAATAAATCAATGTGGGAACATCGGATGTTTTTGGAAGAATAATCACTACTGCTTCCTCTTTTAGGGGTTAGCAAGCTTATATGAGAAATGTAATCACATAAATGCTAAGGATGACTTACCTGGTGTCTACCAAAAGCTCCTGGATCTCTATGAAAGGTAATGAATGCATGGGAAAAATACTTTCTTTAATAGCTTGAATTAGAATAAACTTGTTGTGTTGTTAGGTGCTGTCTAGTTGGTTCTGACTCATGGCGACCCTATGTACAACAGAATGAAACACTGCCTGGTCCTGCGCCATCCTCACAATTGTTGCTATGTTTGAGCCCATCGTTGCAGCCGCTGTGTCAGTCTTTTTTGCTCTCTACCTTACCAAGCATGATGTCCTTCTCCAAGGACTGGTCCCTCCTGATAACATGTGTAGAGTATGTGAGATGAAATCTTGCTATCTTCGTTTCCAGGGAGCACTCTGGCTGTACTTCTTCCAAGACAGACTTGTTCGTTCTTATGGCAGTCCATGGTATATTCAATATTCTTTGCCAACACCATAATTCAAAGGCATCAGTTCTTCTTTGGTCTTCCTTATTCATTGTCCAATTGCATGCATATGAGGCGATTGAAAATACCATGTCTTGGGTCAGGCACACCTTAGTCCTCACAGTGACATCTTTGCTTTTTAACACTTCTAAAGAGGCCTTTTGCAGCATATTTGCCCAATACAATACGTCGTTTGATTCCTTGGCTGCTGCTTCCATGGGCATTGATTGTGGATCCAAGTAAAATGAAATCCTTGACAACTTCAATCCATTTATCATGATGTTGCTTATTGGTCCAGTTGGGAGGATTTTTGCTTTCTTCATGTTGAGGTGTAATCTATACTGAAGGCTATAGTCTTTGATCTTCTTCATCAGAATAAACTGTTAATTAAAAATTATGCACAAGTACACTAAACATTTTAATGGGAATTGGGAAGAGTTTTTTTGTTTTTTTAACTGTTATTACAGAATTTCTTGGTTGCCATTGGAATAGAATCAAAACACTAATAGTAAGAGAGCTGACTAATTTGGGGTCTTTGATAAGATTGTCAATCAGTATAATGGAGATAATCTTTCTTAAACTTTTGTTTTTTATGAAAGGCTCACTTACTGTAGTATGAAAGAGGATATGTTCTAATTTAAAAAATACCTGGTGATATTATTCAGATATGTTAGTATTTTAAGTCTTTGGTTATTTTTTTTTAAGTGCCTTTTTTTTTTCCTTCTAAGTGTTGACAAACAGAAGTGGTGTGATGTCTGTAAGAAACTCGTGGATCTGTATTACCAAGAAAAGAAACATGTAGAGGTTGGTTAATGATTTGCTGGGGTACTAGACTTCTTTTCATAAACACATTTTTATAAGAGAGCTTTAATTTAGCTTAATGGAAAAATCAAGTTATTCTATAAATATGTTACTGAAAAGATTTAAAGAGATAATACAAATAACAGTGCTTTGAAAGCCATAAATTAGAATTCAGATTTAAGGTGTCATAACTTCTAAACCTTTTTAAAACTGGGCAGGGTATAAAAAACAAGTAAAAATGTCATCTGTGGAACTTAGTGATCCATTTGTGGTGTCTCCATAGCTGATGCTCTAAGATATGGGGGTTCGGGGATGTAGTTATTATTCCTGTATCTACTCTGATATCTCAGCCATACTTCTAATATAAGGGCTGTGTGAATTTTCAGCTTACTTTTATGGAGTTCATAGTAGATGGGGTTCTGTGCTTTTGCTATTTTTGTTTTTGAGTAGATAAAAATATTTTTATTAGCAGATTTTACATTTTTTATTGGCGTTTTTAGTATTTAATATAAAAATAACTATTTTAAATCTCCTTGATAGGTGGCCCGAACATGGCACAAGTTGATAAAGACACGGCAGGAAGAGGGTGCAGACAACCAAGAGCTTCATCAGCTATGGAGGAAATTGACTCAGTTGCTGGCCGAGAGTACTGAGGACCAGAATAATGAAACCCAGCAACTGGTATTGATCCATTTATTCCTCAGTTTGTTTCATGAAAATTTATCATCTAGTTGAATTTAGAAAATGGAAACATACTGTATGTCAAACTAGACATTTTGTATACGTTCAATATTAAATTCATAGAATCTCTTCCTGATGAAATCACAGTATTGGCCTGCAATCTCACACTTGTCTGGAAAGAATGAAATTGGTACGCAGCGTGTCAGAATTTCACTCCCTTGTGAGCCCTGGTGGTGCAGTGGTTCAAGTGCTCGGCTGTGAACTGAAAGGTCAGTGGCTCAAACCCACCAGCCACTCCGTGGGAGAAAGATGCAGCAGTCTGCTGCTGGTAAAGATTTACAGCTTTGGAAACCCTATGGGGCAGTTCTACTCTGTGTTATAGGATCTCTGTGAGTGGGAATTGACTCAAAGGCAGTAGGTTTGGTTTTTGGTTTGGTTGTATTCATAAGAATTCCTAGTGAATCAATGACTTAATCACAGTGAAAAAGAAACTGTGAAAAATGGTTTTCGGAAAACTATACTTTTTAAAAAGTTGTATCTTAAAGATGTGTTTCTTCATACTTACGAACTAAATTACTTTAAAGTTTAACAACTAAGCTAGTGTATTTTATTTAGAGTGTTTATATTTAATATTTAGTATTTAGAGTATTTAGTATTTACCTAAAAATATTATTTTTCAGTGTACAGATTTTGAAGTAATTGAAAGGAATTTTTAAAAGACAAAAAATGTTGGTTTTGAAGTATAATTGGAAAATATCTCCATCATTCTTTTTTTCTCTTACTCGTAAGTTTAAAAGTAAATGTAAATTTTTATTATGTAAATAGGCACTCAATGTATACATGCTAAATTGAATTGAGTTTTAAACCTGAACAATTATAAGGCACTGTATATATGGAATGGGAAGTTCATTTCTTTGTATGTTTGTTCATTTTTTTCAGTTATTAATTTGTCCTGTCGTTCAGAAAATATTTGTTTTGAGAACCTGCTATATATGAGGCAGTATGTTTAAGTGTTGGGGATAAAAATGTGAGAATAAGATTTGCACTTCTTTGTGTGATAACGGTGGTTTATCTGGGTACAGATTCAGTTGTGGAAAAAATTGAGCAGTGAAGTATATATTGAAAAATTAGGTAACTTACTAACTTCTCTTAAATCATATTTTAGTAATACAGCCTCATTGTTTTCCTTGAAATAGGATAGGTTACCAAAATATCAAACACATATCAAAATAAGTAAAAAAAAAATTTTGTGTTGTCTATGGTATTCTCTTCCCTGAAAGAGAATTGATAATACAGTACTTATAAGAAATGATTTCTCGCTGTTAAAAATGAAGAAAAAGATTTTTAGGGGGGTGAGTTTTCACCTTGAATGCTAATGATAACTGCTTTCTTTACATATGTTCAGGAAAAAAAAAGTATTGCCTATTTTCCATTTAGATTAATTTCATTACCTTTTTAAATCCCTTATGCTAGACTGTTTAAGTTAGACTGCCTCTTTTGCAAGGTCATTAACTTTATCAGAGCAGTAAAGTTGGCATTGGCATATAAGATTATGATCTCTCTGATTGACTGCTTTGGAGTGGACAGTAAGCTCTTGGAAGAATATTTTGTTAAATTAATGTTGCTCATTTATAGTTATCTCTTAGTTCAGTGCTGTCTGTTGGCCAGAATTCCAAAACTTATATATACTTTTTTTTTCCTCATTGAAATTGTCAGGGCCAGGCAATGAAATACATTTGCAGCTAGTTAAGGGTATAATTTGTACAGAGGGGTTTTATGCATTCTGCCATTTATTACCTGTGTCATTTAAGTATGCTACAGATAATAGCTTTCTTGTTTGTTTCAGCTTTTAACAGCTTTTGAGAATGCATTGGGCTTATCAGATAAGATTCCTAGCGAAGATCACCAAGTACTTTATAGACAGTTCATTCAGTGTTTATTCAAGGTAAGTTGATTTTTAAAATCTCTAATGTGACTTACATATTTCAAAATAGGAAAATGTTCACAAATACATTTTACTAGTAGTAGAACTTAGTTTCTTTTACTTTTATGTTTTCAAGTTTCCTCACGAGACTGCTAGGTTGAAGAAGGCCTGTGAAGGAATGATTAACATCTATCCCAGTGTACAATATCCATTAGAAGTGCTTTGTTTGCATTTAATTGAATCAGGTAAGTTCTTCTTTAATATATTATTGTGTCCTTGAGGTGTCTGAGTGTGTGCGGGTGATATTGCTATCAATTAATCAGAAAAACATTTTAGTGCCTACCAGGCATAAGGTATTGTTTTAGTGTTTCTGGACATAAAAGAAGGCATAATATATAGCCTTTGTCCCCAAGAAAAGGCTAATATCTAATAAATATAGGTAAGTACAGTGATGCAGAGGAATTATGAGTTACTGAGTTCATTGTTGATCAGTGGTCTTTTTAAAGATGGGAATTGAAATGAGTTTTGTATTTTCCATAGAAATTAGATAAACAAGGGGGTGAAAGCATGAGCAGAGGTGCAGAGCTAGGTACCCACAATGTATTTTTTAGGAATAGTAAAATAGGTTTATTTGCTGTAGTGGAAGAAATAACTAAAATCTATTTTGGTTAAATAGGTTAGAGTATATTACATAGGGCTATGAATGTCATGAAAAGGATTTTGGGAAAGATTAGCTTCTCAGCATATTGATATTATGTCATGGTGTTGCAAGTATATTGCTATGAATACTGTGCTGTTATAAAGTCATGAACTTTGTGAATGGTCTTTTTAAATGAAATAGAGCAGATTCAAGTTTGAGAATGTGCCTATGAGTGCACTTCGTACTCTTGCTTCTTTGTGTTCTTTCTTTTGGGGAAGATAGAATTGATGACATCTAGTTTGCTGGGAGTTGGCAAAACCTGTAGCTGAGGCTATCTTGTGCCCAAGGCTGGTTATCAGTCACCTTACAGAAGGTTGGCCATATTGGTTTTTCATTGCCAGTCTCTGTCCTTTTTCTCAGTGCCTGTGCTTAATAGACTGTTTTAAAAATAATTTGAATATTACTGCTGTCCATGCCTATGTTCATCTAAGATGAAAAGGGCACAGAAGTCAGTCACTGAAATAGAAATAACGGTATTGGCACGAGTGGTGTAGCGATTGTAAATTATTGCTGTGCTTTACTAAACCATTTATTTTTTTCACTTTGTTGCTAAATGAGTATATACATGGAAATGCTTTGTATGTGGATGTCCATCCCATGTGTCATGGTAGAAAAATGGTTTAAGACTACTGGTAGAGATAACTGTGAGGGAGAATTCCTGGTAGAAAAGGATCATTGTACCTAACTGTCTTGGCTCTTCCCACTTTAATTCTCCCTGTAAGTCCTGCTTGTCTTATACTCCACCCCACCCCCCAAATGTCTTGTATAGAAACAAACAAAACACAAAACTGCTGTTACCTTCAGTTCTGGATTTTTTTTGGTGAAAAGAAAGCAAATCCCTTTTTCTTACTTTATGTGGGTCAAAGATAGACTTGCAAGAGCACTTTTCACTAGTAGGAGAGAAGAAAACATAAAAGGTGTTGTAGCGAGTTGATTTATGAAGCATAAAGTTTTATACTAACATGCTGTGCAGGATAGATGTACAGAGAATAGACTAGATTGGGTAGACTAAGTGATTCTAGGAGTTAATGAACTAGGGTTATGGTAGTGGTGATAGAAAGTAACAGATGATTGCAAAGTATGCGAGGGGTTTCTTATAGAGGTAAAGTGAGGGAGAAATCAATTTTAAAGTTGAGCTTTCCTGAAAAATGGAAATGATGGTTTGTATGAAAGGTAGGGTTTTAGGAAGAGACATTAATGGGAAAATGCCCATCAGTAGTTTACAGATGAGATACCGATACTGAAATTAGATGTATGGTTTGGAAGTCATTTGCATATAGGTGAAAGTGAAGTGGAGTGGATGACTTCAGAGATGGTTAAGGGCAAAAAGCCGAGAACTACCTTGGGCAGTGCTGGCTGGCTTTAAGGGAAAGGGTGGACAAAGGGCAGGGAAGTGGAGACCACGGAGGATGAGAAAAGGTATGTAAAGAGACTTTCAGCACAAGGAACATGTTTGTGAATTTTTGTATTTTGTGTTTGTTTTTTCTTCTCTAATAGGAAGCTTAGTTCCAAAATTGCCTGGTTTCTTCACATTTTAACTGTGAGCCCCAGTGTATTCCAAAGATCAGTGGGATGATTTTCTTTAGTGTATGGCCTCTGGTGGCCATCCTCCACTTCTTGTGCTGTTGTAACTGTTACTGAGAGATAAATGTCTGGTGTTCCCTTTTTCTCTGTATTCCTGTTCATATAGTAATGGTCTGTATCTTAATTCCCTCATTCTTGGCCTGCTTATATACCAAATGGCACAGGAGGGGAGGATACTTTTCTGAGGACTGACAGCTTTCTAAACAAGTGTTTATATGGGTCTAATATGGATTCATTGAGTAAATGTGGCTGTTATATTACAAAAAGTGTACCAAATAGTAGAAGATATAGGATCAAGAAGAGTCTGCAGAGCTTTGCACATAAATTCAGTAGTTGACAAAGTGTAGTAGTAAAGAGATAGCTAAGTGATTATGTTGGTTGGTTAGAAGAGTATGTTGGTCTAAGTGAAAAAATCATTCTTGAGGAGGGTTTGGGAGTGGGTATTTTGCAAAATGTAAAGAAGGGAGTGCTGTGTCATGGCAAAGGGGAATGGGTAGGTGGTTATTTTCTTATGTGGTATAACCTAAGAGAAGTTCTTTCTCATCATAGTAGTTGGTTGCAAAAATTTATGGAATGGAGGGGTTTAGGCTTAGATATAGTCTAAGGTAAAGCTTCATTTGGCGGGGGGCAGGGGGTCTGGAAGTTTAATAATTAATGTGGGACATTGGAAAGTTATGGTTAAGGATTTCTTCTTTTTTTCTTTTTATTGCTCCTCTAAACCAAACTTTCTGTGTATAAGAACTTCTGAAAAATCTGCAAGATTTCTAAATGCTGACCCTCCCTTCTCCAGAGTACTTTAATATCTGCAGAATTTGCTGCTTGAAAGCAGTTAATCACTGAGTTCTCTTCCATTGGGGAAAAATAGATTTCATTCTCTTTGTCCTGTTTTGCATGTCGAGACTTGATCATTTTCAAAATGACTCAATTTGTAAAGCTTCATATAACAAATAGTGAATAGCTTTCACAGTTGTCATCTGATGAAATGTTATTTCATGCTACGTGATCTTTTTGGTTTATTTTATTTTGATTTATTGCTGAAATGGTGGAGGGTAAGAAAGCTAGGTTCTTCAAATACAAGCAGAGAAGAGCTTCTTTAAGTTTTGTGTTCTAAAATATTAGAAAATCCAGGTGGAAATAAAGAAATAAATGCTGTTAAATTATATGTGTTATTTTTTCCCCCAACCTAGGTTTATTTAAGAGAAAAAATTCTATAGTACTGATTAGTTTCTTAGGGATGTCAGAAATGAATTAGTTATACAGTAAAAACATCTCACTTTCTTGGTGCTGTACTATACGAAATGGAATTCCGTAAGTACTACTTAGCATCCACTCTGGACCTTTCCAGAACACCTTTTACCCTTGGAGTTTTAATGTTCATCAGCCCCCAAGTCTAGCTTGCCTTTTTTTTTTTAATTTAATTTATTTTTGTTGTTGTTGAGGGTATGCACAGCAGAAGATAACACCAATTCAACAATTTCTACACATATAATTCAGTGACATTGATTACAGTATTTTTAATTAAATAATGTGCGCCTTCTATGTTTGCTTGCCATCCCTGCCCTCCCCCTGCAAGGTATTGTCATAAGTGCCGGTATGCCAATTTTTTTTTACGTGTTGCTGTAAAAAAATTAGCATAGCTTAATTTTGAAAATACTTTGCGGGGGGAGGGTACGGTGGACAAACAAATGTAGAAGGCGTGTGTTATTTGTGTAAAAATACGGTACTCTTCAAGTTGTGCAACCATTCTCACCCCCCTGTTCTGAATCATTCCTCCCCCATTAATATAATTGCACTGCCCCCTAAGTTTACTGTCTAATCTTTTGAGTTGCTGTGGTCAATTTGATCCCATAATAAATAGCTCTTAAAAGAGCACAATGCTCAAGGCAGGCATTCTTTATTAGTTAAGCTGTACTATTGTTTGACTTTAAGAAGACTTCAAAAGATATTTTTGGCTTAAGGTTTAAAGATTATCTCAGGACAATAGTTTCAAGGGTTCATTCAGCTTCCATGGCTCCAGAAAATCTACTTTCCATAAGAATTTGAAAATTTGTTCTGCCTTTCGCCCCTTTTGATCAAGATTCTTCTATAGAATTTTTGCTCAAAATGTTCGGTAATGGTAGCTGAGCACCATTCAGTTCTTCTTATCTCATAGCAAAGGAGGCATTTGTTCATGGATTACCCACACATTCCATTTCCTCCTCCTATTCCTGACTCTCTTCCTTCCTCTATTGCTCCAGACCAATTATTGTAATTTGTATGGCGATTTGCAAGCTTTTAAGACCCCAGGCACTACACAAGAGACTAGGAGGTAGAACAAAAACACTAAACCCGATATTAGGCCAGTTAACTGGGATGTCGCATGAAACCATGACCCTAAACCTCCAAGCCAAGAAACCAAATCCCACGAGGTGTTTGGTTGTACATAAGCAGCCTCAGCATCTGCTCTTTTTTGTTGTTTTTGTAAATACAGGTAGTCTCCGAGTTACAAACATCCAATTAATTTATGGACAGCTGGTACTTGCCCTCACTTTGGAACCATTGAACCAACCCTTACTCCAACAAATTCTTCATCACAATCACCTTCACTTGCTGCACATGCAGCTTTTAAATCATTAAAAAGCCTTCAAGCCTTTTCTTAAACTAAAAAACCTGTTGCTGTCAAGTTGCTTGCAACTCATAGTGACCCTGTAGGACAGAGTAGAACTGGCCTATAGGATTTCCAAGGAGTAGCTGCTGGGTTTGAACTGCCATCCTTTTGGTTAGCAGCCGAGCTCTTAACCACTGCACCACCAGGCCACCAAAAACATGAAGATGTCAAATCTCTTTTTGTTTCCCTAATTGTGCTCCCAGACATTAGCAAAGGAAATATGTTAGGAAAGTTTACTTTGTTTTAAAAGTTGTTTGTATTCATCTCAGCCTTTTGGAAACTATTTTCACCTATCTCCTCACACTTTACTTACCTGTGTGCAGTTTTTAGGTAGCCCAAATATGGGTGATTATTGGAGAAATTTGAGTGACTTTTCCTATTTTCGTCTGTGACTAAAACAGTGGTTTCACATGTGGTTTGGATGTGTATGTTTTATATAGATATGAAACCATCTCTTTTTTGCATAAATTATTTTCATTCTCCAAATTTATTGTTTCAAATTGTAGTTTATCTCAATTACTTTTAAAGAATTTTCCTATGTGATTCCCGTAACCTGTTGTTGTTGAGTCGATTCTGATTCACGGCGACCCTATAGGACGCAACAGAATTGCCTTGTAGCGGTTTCAAGACTGTAAATCTTTACAGAAGCAGACTGCCACGTCTTTCTCCCGTGGAGTGGCTGGTGGCTTTGAACCGCCAATCTTTTGGTTAACAGCTCAGAGCTTAAGCACTGTGCCACCAGGGCTCAGTTTATTAAAGTGGTGAATGCTATTCACAGTTTTTTCTAAAAACAGAAATGAAGTTATTCATTTGTTTTTATGCTTTTGTTTTTTTTTTTAGCAATGGGAAATGCTAAGATTAATTGAGATTGAAGAAAATGAAAATATAACAAAATATATATTTTCTAAACAAAATTATTTCACCAAAAACGAATTTAGAAATAAATGTAGGTATTGTATGATTGTAACATAAGCTTAGCTATTAATTTATATAGAAAAAAATAGTTTTGAAAGAATGTAGACATGTATTGTTGAACTTGTGAACTTAAGAATGTAGACTAAGTCTTTTACATTGTTTTTGTTCAGTAGCATGTCCTTTGATTCTAGGATGTGGGAAGAGTCCACTCGATTTGGTGTCTTGACTGACATGTTTCTAACAGCACATGCTTGCTGAGGAAGAGAGACTGGCAAAGATACTGTCCTTTGACAGAAATTTCTTTATTTGACAACCAAAATTGTTGCTACTCAGTAGGAAAGGGAGACCTAATGGCAAATAGCAGTAGGTTTCTTGTTTGAAATCCTTGAGTATAACTTCAGATTCAGTGTCTGTGAGCTAAAGTTGTTTCTACTTCCAATATTTAAGAAGATGAATGAGCATAATTTTCTTTATAAAATATTCATTGTTTACTACCTTTTCTAGCCTATTAAGTTTTGAATTCCTAGAATCAGGATAAGACGGACTTTGAAATGTAAGCTATAGGTTTTGGCATTTAGAAAGTTGGTATATGTATGCTAATCATGTTTTCTTTTAATTCTAGGAAGTTTTACTGATGAAGCACAACAGTATTGTTGCAGATTAGTGGAAATGGATTCAAGAAGTGGTCCAGGCCTCATTGGCTTAGGCATTAAAGCATTACAAGACAAAAACTATGAAGATGCTCTTAAGAACCTAACAGAAGGCAAGTGTACAGTGTAACATGTAACATGAGATGAAATGTTATTCTCTTCACTCAGTAGGCATTTATCTTTGGGCCTTTTCTTTGAAGAATGTATATCTAAGATAGAAGGGGAGAAATGTACTTACATCTGTGGAGTCGGCTTAGATTTGAATTCCAACTCTGCCGCTTAACTAGTTTCTTGACCTTGGGAAAATTAATTAAACTCTCTGTGTCTTAGTATTTTCATTTGTAAAAGATGAGTAATAATATCATTTGTTTCTTAGGACTTTTGTTGCTAGGATTGAATGAAATAATACATGTATAGTGTCTCGTACCTATATCAGTAAATTTTAGCTGTTAATATTCTTATTATACTAGCCAGAAAACAGTTTAAGGTATTAGCAATATTGCCATGAAATAACATATTGAAATCAACCATATATGTAAGAATATTTCTTAGAGCAGAGAAGTAAATACAGGCATCATTGTTGGTGTTTTACAACTCTCATTTTGACAGTGAACTACCTGTAAATGATTATAATGCCCTCCGTAGAAAATAATAATAGGTAGTCTATAAATAAGAATTTACATTTTTGTAGTTAGGCATAAAAGTAATTGTTTAAAATAATTTCCACCTAGTGGAAAATTTCTAACCTAGCTGCTTGTAAGAATCGTTTGGGGCCAAGTCCCAGATCTGTTGAATCACCAGGGAAAAAGTTGGAGAATTTCTTTTTCTTTTTTTCTTTTTTAATTAAGCATGCTTTATGTAGGTAGGACAACACTGGTCGGTGGACTAGAATTGGCAACTGCTGGCCTATAGTAGGAAACCCTGGTGGCATAGTGGTTAAGAGCTACAGCTGCTAACCAGAATGTCAGCAGTTCGAATCCATGAGGTGCTCCTTGGAAACCCGATGCAGCAGTTCTAGTCTGTCCTTTAGGGTTGCTATGAGTCGGAGTCGACTCCATGGCAACAGCTTTTTTTTTTTTGTCTAGAGTAATTTCAGAAATTGCATTATTGATTTATTATAGTTTTAGTATTTACACATCTTTTCATGATTTTTCGAATTGAATTTTACTTGAACAGTAATTATTTCTAGGTATATTTGAAATTATCTTTAAGTTTTGATTGCTTTTGAAGCCCTTTAAAATTCTTCTAGGCCAGTTATATCAGTTGTGTAACTAGACTTAATAAGAAAATAGAATCCTTTTTCATTTTATTTGCATCAGATGTGAGACTTGCAAAGATCACTATGTTTTGTAAAAAATAGTATGTGTAGCATTATATTAAAAACTATATTTCTGAAATGATTGAAAACCTTTAAAAATCTGTTGAAAGCCACCATATTTAAATTGTGATGAATTGATGATTCCTGGAAAACAATTTTGGAAAATATCTGTTTTCATTTTACTTTTTCTAAAGATAAACATATTTTCTTTGTTAATTTGTCAGTTATGGTAGCATTTTTTTTTTAAATTTTTATTTCTAATTCAGTAGCTTAGATAATTGGAAAAAAATAGCTCATAGATTTGGGGTGTATTAAGACATCCTCATAGGATTCTTACTGAGTAATGGATAAGTTCTCATATTGCTACTATCCTGACTTTCTGTTATTCTCACACAAGGCTGTTTATTTCAAATAGAAGCAGTTTAACCTTTCTTTATTTGTATTGCCTCTTAACTATAAAGTAATACCTTACTTTAGAAGCTAAAGGCAGAGAAGTCTTTTGTTTGTTTTCATAATCCTTTACCTGGCTTGATGGTCAGGTTAGGACTCAGCATGTGCTTTCTCTGTCTGCTTCTGTGCTGTCCTCTTAACAGTATTATTATTTTTTTCTTTACCACTTAAAATGACACTGTCTCCAAAGATTATTTTTCCGGGACCTTTTAAAATCCATGAAGTATTCTAGCTCAGTGTAGGTTAGAATATGGCATCCCTTAATGCACCAGATTCTACTTTGTAGAGCCATCTTACTTATCTTGTTTTAGCCATATGAATTATGAGAGAAGGTTAAAAAACAAAACAAAAAAGAACCTGCTAATAGGAAGAAAGCAGACAGCTTTTGATGGTTTAAATTTAGTAATGTAAGACTTGGAGGAATGTTTTCTTTGGAAAATATTTCTATATGAGGTTTGGGAACTACTAGTCTTAAAGACTTTTAAAATTAAAAATAACATTACAGAACCTGTATAGTTTTATATTTAAAATGTTTTTTTCTCAATGAAGCGAATATTAACAATAATGCCCTTTCATTTACTTGAGTACTGTTGTGCTTTCACTGTTTTTAAAGTGAGAGAAAAGCATTAGAAGTCAAACTATTTCAAAACATATAAAACAGCCATCTTTTTTTTTCTTTCATTATTATTGTGTGAGTGCCCACTTCAGTTGTGGGTCTCCATAGTTTTTCTGCACCACGAGGGCAGAACTAATTGCCCAACAGGCAAATACATTGTAAATGATGAATGTTAACAAAGGGAAAGCACAGAATGCTGTGGGAGCCTCATGTGGCTTTAACTTAGTCTTGTCAGGTAAGATGTTTCTGGATGAGCCTACATGCAAGTTGAGATCTGAATGACAAATACAAACCTGCCAGGTGATTAAGGGGGTGAAGGGAGCTTTCTGGCCAAGGGAAGAAACTGTGAAATAACCTGAGGTGAGAGGAAAGCTAGTGTTCAGGGAACTGCGATAGTTCAGCAAGATTTGACAGTGAAGTATGGGGACAAGAAGGGACAAGAGGTGAGGCTGGAGAGGAGCCTTGAAAGCTTGCTGAGGAATTTGCATCTTATTCTAAGGTCAGTGGGGAACCAAAAACGTTTTAAGGAGGGGAAATTTGTAATCTGAGTTGTATTTTTAGAAATATTCTGGCTCTAGTGTAGACAATGTATTGGAACGGATGACAGGCACTCCCAGTGCTTGGGATAAAGTGCTGGGATCCCAGTGCTGGGATAAAGATATTGGAGGTCTGAACTGAAGTGGTGGTGACAGAAATGGAGAAAACTATATGGAGATAAATGGATTTGGGATGAAATCAATGTAACTTTGTGTCTGAGTAGATGTGAGACTAAGGAGGAGGGAGCAGTCTGATTTGGGTAGTAGATGGTGGCACCATTCATTTAAGTAGTCACGGAAACCTTGGAATTGTGATTTTTTTTATCCTTTTAGGGTTAAAGGAAAGCCCTCTCTGTACAACTGGATGGTATCATCTGGCAGAAGCCCAACTCAAAATGCATAGACCTAAGGAAGCTATTCTTTCATGCAGTCAAGGTATTCTTGATAACTTATGGGTTTACATGTTATAAACATATATATTCCATACATGTAGGGGCTGCCAGTCTTAATTTTAAGGGAGAAATATAGTGATTTAAAAAAATCCTGTGCTATATTTTTTATTTTAAGTTGCTGACTAATTTAAATCTCATTGAAGAGGTTACAAGAATACCAAGTTTTCATGGATGTCTACTAGTGTATTTATTTTTAAACTGACAGTGAGTATTTATCAAAGGTTTCCCACATTTGGAATTTTGACATAGTGTTAAAACAAAAATCATATTAAGCGAATAATAGAAATTGATTGAAGTTTATTGAATACAGGTAGTCCCCGGCTTATGACAGGGTTCCATTCTGATAACTCATCGTAAGTCGGTTCTGACATAAATCAAATACTTCTTTTTTTTTTTTTTAAAGTTTTTTATTATTATTGCCATATTGCCACTGCCACTGCTATATGGCAGTGTTTTGAACAGTAAGTCATAACATTGAATATCCACAAGTGAACATCGGAGAATGATAACATCTTAGTCTTGTCAGGTAAGATGTTTCTGGATGAACCTACATTCAGCATTGTATGTAGTATGTATTACTAATGATAAGATATACAAAAAAAAACAGTTGTAAGTACAGTTTGTCATAACTTGAATACCTCATAAGTTGGGGACTGCCTGTATACAATTTGCAAATCGGTAACATTTCAACTAGGGAGTCAAAAATGTTCCGACAATGAGAGAACTTCCAAAGATTCTCATACCCCGCCTTGTGGACATTGTAATGGAAAAGCTCCAGGACAAAACTGATAAAACAATTTACAGTCAGGAAGGATTTCATACAGCATTGTCTTGAAGAACAATTAAAATAATTACTGATTTACCCTAAAACATAGCTCTAGTCTGACCTTTGGAGTCTCTTTCTCAGAAATGACTGCAACTGATTTGAGGAATAAATAATTCCTCAAAAGAGCATAATGTCAGGGCAAATGGTCTTCACTAATTTATCTAGACCATTGTTGGATTCAAAGGTGACTTTTAGAAACCAATTTCTTCAAGGCTCAAGGTTCAAAAGGAGATCTAAGGACAATGGTCTGGGTGGGTCACCCCAACTCCAGTGATCCCAGAAACCTGGATTCCAGGAGAATTAAAAACTTTTCAGTAGTTATTTTAGGTTTGGGAGGAGGTGCTCTGTCTTTGAAACAAGGAAGTTTCTGGTATGTCCCAGGACCTTTATGAGTTCTTTCTTCAAACTCAATTTCTCTGCTGTAGATAAGGGATCTTAGGCATCTTAGAGCCTATTTGAATGTGATGCGGTGAGGTGTGGGGATAGGGAATCACAAAAAGTGATTTGCTGTTCCTGACCCAGCTGGTAACCTAGTATCTGTAATTGATATAACAGCTTACCCTGGTCCATTCTAATTCGGCCTCTATCCCTTTCTGATATCCTTAATTTACTATGCTTGTTAGAGATGTTTTGACTAAAAGCTGACCTTTCTTATGTAGCAGATATAACCATTGTTGTGTTTCAGGATGTTCACTTTTATTATATGTCCTGTGAAAATAGAGTTTTAAATTCAGTTCATTCCATAAAGCATTTAGGAAAGAATTTATATTTAGCTTTGAATTATTCTTCATGTATATTGTTTTGACAATCTGTGCTTTTATATCTGCAACTTATTATATATTATCCTTAAAAAAATGAAGTTATATGCTGGTCTTCATTCAGATGTCCTTAATTTTATCAGCTCTGAAGAACATAGATAATCTTGGTGTATCTGGTGGCAGTCTTCATCAGAAGAATCTTTGTCTTCATTTGAAAGCAGAGGCTTTGATTAAACTCTCAGATTATGAATCTTCAGAGGAAGCGATTCATACTCTTGATCAGGTAGTCTTATCATTGAGTTTTCCCCTTCAATGTTATTTCATTTTCAATCAACCAGACATCAGACACTCTCCCTCCACAAATATTTACTTATACAAGTTTTGTGTTAGACATACGAATTCACCACTTTTGAGCTTTTGTAAATCAATCGTACACTTTGAAAGTCTTTGAAGTTATTTGTTTGCTTGATGGTTAAGTATTTATAGTATTCTTCATATGATGTAATTTCTTTCATTGATCCTTCCCTTATTCTTTCCTCCCCCCTGCCCCTTTAATGTTGTTACTAGTTGATTATTATTAATTTGAGATTCTAAATTTTTCCCTCCAGAAAATATTTCACTAATTATTAACAGGAATAATTAAGGACACTAGTAGCTTCATTGTAGAGGATGTTATTTATTTGTTTCATTCAACTTAATAAAACACCCAGAGCAAGATTGATGTTTAAGAAAGAAACTGATTTCTTAATATTTTTGGTTCAATCATTTTGAAATTCCCTAGACAAAAAACAACTAGTAAATTATGAATTATAACAACATGATGCCTTTAGAGATTTTTGGCAGGTAAAGATTATTTTTTGTCTAAAATTAAAATTATATCAGTAACATTACAGATTTTTGAATTAAAAAAAATTCACTGTTTTGTGTATTTCAAAGGACTTTACATTTCACCATTTTCTTTTAAAATTAGCACAGTTGTCAGCATCCTTTAAGAACCAATATCTTATTTCTTATTTTCTACTTGCCTTCTCACCAATAATGTTTTGTGTGAGTGCTTTGCAGAGATCGTTCCCATAATTTTTTCACAAAAAAGCAGAATGAAAAGTGCCTTGAAGAACTGGTAAAGTCTAAGTCTGAAATAGAAAATGTACAAGATGAGCGCAGAACATCTTGTCATGCTACAAAGCTATTAGGATTGTGTCGAAAGGGTTCAGGGTGAAGAGGTGCTCATTGGCTAAAGAGAGGACAGTTTGAGCACCAATAACTGTAGGAGATTGAAACATAGCAAATAAGTTTATATCCATGAGTTCATGGTAATACAAAAAAAAAAAAAAAATTCTCAAATAAAAAAGATCTTTGGAGAATGCTAAGGAACCAACTAGAAACTGGTAAATAAAAAGAATCAAGTATATGTCCTGCCTCTTCTACATGAACTGTACCTCAGGATAATCAATTAGATGATGAGAGGAAGGGAAATTTCTCTTTATTGAAGTGTTCCAGCTAATAAGGGAGTAAGAAATGATGAAAATAGGAAAACACCAATTTGCTATCCCTAATAAATTCATAGATATAGGCATTGAGAGTCAGTGATTGTTACTATCAAGAAAAGAACGTTAATCAAACACAGGATGCACGTACACATGAACTATTCTTGCTAAAACATCAGACTTGAATCAGATCAAGCATCTACATCTAACTACTAATTTACAGAAAATACAGGGGACTGAGGCACGTGTTAACACCATGAGAATGTTATTGTTGTGTGCCATCGAGTCGATTCTGACTCAGCGGTCCTATAGGACAGAGTAGAACTGCCTCATAGAGTTTCCAAGGCTATAATCTTCACAGAAGCAGACTGCCACATCTTTCTTCCATGGAGTAGCTGGTGGGTTTGAACTGCCAACCTTTTGGTTAGCAGCCGAGTGCTTAATCACTGCACCACCGACCATGAGAATACATTCAGTAAAATTCAGACTTTGAGGAACTGTGACAAATGGGAGAAAAATAAGAGATGGAGCGGAGCCCTGTAGATTAAAAGAAGAGATGTATCAGCCAATTGAAATGTATGTGCCTTATTTGGATTTTGATTGAAACAAATAAATTATTCAAATATTTTATGAGACAGCTGGGGAAATTTGAACACTGGCTAATTATTTGATGATACTAAGGATTTATTATTGGTTTTGTATAGGTGTGATAATGGTATTGTGGTTATGTTATATAAAAATGAATTTTTTTAGAGATAGTGGAGCATTAACAGGTGAAAAGTTATGGTATCTGGGATTTGTTTCAAAATAGTCCGATCAAGGGTATAGTGAAATAGGTGGAGGTATAGCTGAAAAAATATTGACTTTCAGTTGATAATTTTGAAACTGGATGATGGGTACATGCAGGTTCTTTTTGCTATTCTCTCTAATTTTGTATGTATTTAAAATTGTATATATTGAAAGGCCTCTATGTCTTTATTCTGTTTAGGACCCTGCTGTACTATGGGCATTCTTTAATTAAAACAAACAATGTTGACTTGTGTGAAAGGAGATTTATAGCAATTCTTTGTAATTATTTTCTAGGTTTCTGATGCAAATAATATCCCAGGACTTTTGGTTCTCAGAAGCTTGGCCTGTCTGAACAAAGGCTTGTTAGATGAAGCTACAAAGGTTGTTTTTTTATATCCAAAATGAGTATTTTTTAAAAGTTAAAAGTAATTTTTATTTGGATACAAAACTGACAAGTGTCTACTTTATAGATTATGGAAGACCTTCTCTCTTCTTACCCTGACCTAGCTGAAGCTCATGCCCTGGAGGCTTTGATTCATTTTACCAAAAAGGACTATCTACAAGCAGAAAAATGGTAAGGATATATAGATTGCTTGTTGATCCCGTCACATCTTTGTTTATTATATTTCTCAAAAATTAAAAATGAATGGTCTTGATGAAGATCCGGTTTTTGTGTAAATTTGATCTTTGTAAGCGTTAAGTCTTAATATTTTTAAGAAATGTATTTGCCATGTAACACAATAACTGTAAAAAAATCTCATGATGGGTTTGAAGTCTAATTAGCTAATCATAATGTTCAGTAAGCATATATGATGTTTGGTGTGTGCTCTGAACACGTAGCCCATTGGTAGTGCTAAAGAGCTAGTCTGCCTTTTTAAGCTCCTCTTCAAAAACAAATCTTTTTTTTTTTCCTCATAATAATCTAAATCCTAAAGTAAATGACTTGTTTCTAATCTGGCATCATTGAATCATTCAAACTTTGAGTGTTCCAACTAGGAGTTTCCTATATTTTTTATATATTTTTCCCATATTTTTATTCCCTTTTGGTGCTTAGTTTTCAGAAGGCTCTTGAGAAAGACAATGAAGTTGCTGAATATCATTACCAACTTGGGTTAACATATTGGTCCATGGGTGAAGAAACAAGAAAAGATAAAACAAAGGCTTTTACCCACTTTCTGAAGGTAAAAATAAGTGCTAATGCTCACTTCTTAGTTGAAATGGATTAATTATAAAATCATAAAAGTTAAGTACTTAAAATTATTCCTTACTGAACTGTCTTATTACGTTTCATCTATCACACAAGTTTTCGTGAGAATATTATGTGGTTTTCCAAAAGAACGTTAAACCATAAATATGTAAATGTAACTTTAATATTTAAGAAATACATGTTATAGAAAACTTGACAAATTATCTTAACTTGACAGATTTTTTAGGTAATTTCCACTGATTTTGAGCATATGAGTCTTATATAGTTCTAGATTTTTTTTGGTTACTATCTAGAAGTCTTACATTCTCTTGATTCATAAAAAGCAAATTAACATAACAATAGCTCCAATTTCACATTTCTTTTAACAAAAAAATATTTTTACATTTGTATTTGCTTTCTATAAGCAGTGAGGACCAACTTTTATTTCTGTTTTAAACTTTATATTAAAAGATGTCTTGGCATATTTTTGTGTATTTCATAGAATTATTTCTTTCATTTGTGTATCTTTTATGTTTTTAAAGAGACTTATCCAAATGAACTTTTGTATTTTGTTACCATCCATATTTATTTCAAAGGCTGCAAGACTGGATACATACATGGGCAAAGTTTTCTGCCATTTAGGCCATTATTACAGAGATGTAGTGGGAGATAAAAACAGAGCCCGTGGGTGTTACAGGAAAGCTTTTGAATTAGATGACACTGATGCTGAATCCGGAGCTGCGGCAGTTGACCTAAGTGTGGAACTTGAAGAGATGGTAAGTCTAATAAAAACTTCTGTCTTTTTTTTTTTTATTCTGAGTATATAAATAGAAAAATTTACATGCATGTTTGTGTATCAATATATATCAAGCAGTAAAATGAAAATATATCTGTATTTTATGTATGTGCTTTGCATATTTACAATATTTGATATCTCTAATATTTGTCTCTTATTATTAGGACACTGCCTTAGCTATCCTAACCACAGTAACTCAAAAGGCAAGTGCTGGAACTGCAAAATGGGCCTGGCTTAGGCGAGGACTATACTATTTGAAAGCAGGTCAACATTCTCAAGCAGTGGCTGAGTAAGACACCTTATTCTATTAAACTCTGCTAGGAAGCCTAATGGTTCCTTAAACTGACATCCATATATTCCCAAAATGAAGTTCACAAGTTATTATGTTGTGGTGGTGGTGTCCCATCGAATTGATTCTGACTCATAGTGACTCTACATGACAGAGTAGACCTGCCCCATAGGGTTTCCTAGGCTATAATCTTTATGGGAGCAGATTGCCGGGTCTTTTCTATTGGGGATCCACTGGTGGATTCCAACTGCTGACCTGTCAGTTAGGAGCCAAGCCAGTAACTGTTCACCACCACGGCTCCTCCAGTTGCCAGGGAGAAATAGCAGAATTTATTTATGGTTATTGCTGTCACCGAGTTAATTTCTACTCATGGCAATGCCGTGTGTGTCGGCATAGAACTGTGCTCCATGGAATTTTCAGTGGCTGAGTTTTGGAAGTAGATCACCAGACCTTTTTTCCAAGGAGCCTCTGGGTGCACTCAAACCTTCAACGTTTTGGTTACCAGCTGTGTGAGTTAATTGTTTGCACTACGCAGGGACGTCTGTTTATGGCTAACTGTTGTTGGTGCTTATCTACAAGGCACTAGAGTTGTAAAAATGGATTAAATGATGTGCTGTTGTTGAGGTTATAACCAGTCTAATGAAGTGAAGTCTTAATAATATACTATATATAGTAGGTTCTCAATAGAAATTTAAGAAATGATGAAAAGCCAAGATTCCTATCTTTTTGTCCTCCCACTGGCATGCATTATTTTTGTGTAAGAGAGAGTTTTGCCAACATGAGGGGCATTTGAAGCAGCTCATATATATATAATCAATTTTAGTCATTTAATTTGAACTACAGGGTAAATAAAATACATTTAAATCAAGTTAAAGTAGTTTCAAATTTATGCTGATTTCTAGAATACAGGTATTTTTAATTTTTTCATGGAAATGGAATTTGATCAGAAATTTAAAGCATGCCTGTTATTCCTATTTTTTAACTATGATATTCCTGTTTGGTGGAAGGCTTGGTGATGGGGCTTTATAGATTGTGATGAGGCAAACTGAGACACACACCTGTCCTGGTGGAATAGAAAACTGGATTCTAATCAAGTCAGATAACCAAGAAAAAGAATATTCTAGTCAGCATATTCCCAAAAAGTACTGGCTTCTTATTTGTTCTAAAATGATAATAAAATTTCTTAGTATTAAAAAAATATGCAAACCGTAAAAGGAAGAGCTGCTTTTAATAGCACTTTGTAAATTGAAGGAGCCATGAATATATGTGATGTAGTTGAATTATCTTTTTTATTTTTTCCTTTCAGATGTGGAAGTAGTTCTATTACTTTTTCTTGAAATTTTAGTTTACAGGCAGCATTAAGGGCAGACCCAAAGGACTTCAATTGTTGGGAGTCATTAGGAGAGGCATACTTAAGCAGAGGTGGCTATACAACAGCTTTGAAATCCTTCATCAAAGCCACCGAGTTGAACCCAGAATCCACACACAGTGTGTTTAAGGTTGCAGCGATACAGCAAATCCTAGGCAAATACAAGGAGGCTGTAGCTCAATACCAGCTGATCATTAAAAAGAATGAAGATTATGTGCCTGCTTTGAAAGGTAATTTTTTAAATAACTCCTTTATCTTTTGTGATATTGAAATATAAAATCCTTGAGTAAATTTCCCAAATGCATTAACTTGAAAAGGACTTCTTTAATCAACCGTTAAGTACTGAGTATCAACCTATTGTAATATAGCTTGTTATACACATTTGAATATAAGATCAAATCTTTTTTTACAGTAGTTAATAAGTAGTAATATGATAGAAATTTAACTTAGAAAAGTAGCATTATAGCTACTGGATCTAAAAAATGGATCTTTAAAGCAGGAGTTTCTCTGCTATCTCTTACATTTTGACTTGTTTGTTATTTCACTGTATCCCTAGAATATCTTAATACCTTTTAATTACTTTGTAAATTTAGAATCTCAGTTTTTAAAGTTTCACATTTTAGAAGCAACTAGCATTGTTTTATAATTATCTAAATTGATTTCAGTTCTTCCATACATATATATTCCTTAACAAATTATTTTTGGTAATGTAAGGTAAAACACCACCATCCGTATATAATCTGAAATTTTTATTATATCTGACCATATTTTAAAAACCTGGAGTCCAGTATAGCTGCTTTTCAACTATTTACTTTTTCTTTTTTAAAAAGAAACAGTTGAGGTTTAACTTAGAAATAGTATATGTTTTAAGTGACATGTAACTTAGGGCTTGAAAACCCTTTTCCTTTTTAATTTTGTAAAAATCTTTCCTCAAGGGAAGAATAACTCATATTTATTAAGTGTTTACTAGGCACTTCAGGAAATCATTATTTCATTTAATCTTTATAGTATAGCTTGCTATACAAATTCAAATATAAAATGATCAAATCTTGCTTCATAATAGTTAATACATAGTAATATGGTAGAGAATAACATTTAGATAATATCCCATTTTCAAAGCTAAAGTTTTTAAGAAGTAAATAACTTGCCTAAAGTTAATAAAATGGGTTCTTAGGTTCCATAGGTCAATTTTTATAAATTTTAGTGTATATTTACTCCAGCAGCACCTTGCTATTTGAATTCCACACTAAATGTATGCAAAATAATGCTTAAAGATAATTTTATAAAATATCATTGAGGTTTATTTTTTGGGGATGTGGCTTTAAAATAACACCAATAAATTCATTTGAAGTTTATTCTGAGTGTTTCTCTTTATGTTTTCATGACAACTACAAACATCTGATTTTAGGTCTGGGTGAATGCCATCTTATGATGGCAAAAGCAGCTCTAGTTGATTATCTTGATGGGAAAGCTGTAGACTACGTAGAAAAAGCACTGGAATATTTTACTTGGTTTGTATTATTCTTATTATTCATTATGTTTATTTTTCAGGATTTATATAAAGCCAAATTTAGAAAATCATTTTATGTTTATTGTGTTAGATATAGCGATTATTCAGAATGTGAAATATAGACAGAGTAGCCAATTCTATAATATACGTATTATATTAGTTTTCTGGGAAATCGATACAATGTCTTGTGTTCTTAGTAGTGACTGGCATGCTGGATGCACAGGGAAGAGTGGGAAGGAGGAAGCAGTCAGCTAGATGACTCACAGCTCTGAAACCACATTAGTGTCGTCTTTCAGGAGACATGGAAGTGGGAGCATATCTCTAATTAAAACTGACTGGAATATAGGGCTTCAGGTGCACAGTATGCTTTATATTCAGTGTTAAGGGCCTAATTTAAGCTTATTGGTAGGGTTAAAACCAAACCAAACCCATTGCCGTCGAGTTGATTCTAACTCATAGCAACCCTATAAGACAGAGTAGATCTGCCCCATAGGGTTTCCAAGAGCGGCTGGTGGACTCGAACTGCCGACCTTTCTGTTTTTTTTGGTTAGCAGCTGAGCTTTTTAACCACTTTATAACAGGGCCCTGGTAGGGTTAAAGGTAGGGGGAAATGAGCAATCTGATTGTCTTGGCTTCTGGAGAGAATCTGTGTAGGAGAAAGGTAGTGTCTATGAAGAAGAAAAGAATCAGAACAAACTAAGTAAATCTGGTATTTTATAGAACTTCAATTTATTTGTTAGGGTAGAAGTGTTATTTGTGGTGCGTGACTTTTAAAAGTCCACGAGTTAGATATACACTTGAATTTTTTTGCACTTCTACATCTATCTTTCTTGTGCATCCTTTCATTTCTTTTCCTCCTTCCCTTCTCCTTTATTTCCCACGTATTTGGTTGCACTGGAATTAGTTTGCTTGGAATATGATCCAAGTACGAAATGAAAACCTTAGCCTTTTTCTCCTACTGATTTTTACTGCTCCTTTTCAAGTCTCATTGCGCATAGCTTTTTCCAAAGAAGAATGGATTATAAACAGGGCATATTTTATTTGAATTAGTATTTAATTAAGAGTAAATGTGAACCTTTGGGTGAGGATACTTTAGCTACAAATGTCACCTTCCCCAGCCTTGGAAATTTTGCTCTGGATAACATGTAAAACTCACAACCAATTATGAAGAGGTATGTAAGCCTTTATAATGGTAATCCCCAAGTTTATATTTACTTCTAGACGTAAAGGGAATTAATGTTACCGCATCTTAAATAAGGATGATAGAAGTTATTTCATTTTACTTCAACTTTTTAATTGAATTTACAAGGAGATCAAAGTTTTGGCTGTTAAAATTGCTTATTTCTCGTCTTCTTTTTCTGTTTTCTCCTTTCATGCTGTCAATTTTAGAAATTTTGCTAAGATGTGTAGCAAAGGAACTCCAAATAGTGTTGTCCCTCCTCCTGATCCTAACAGTAGACTTTCAGGCACGACTGTGATAATTAATCTTATTTCTCAGGAAGACACTGGAAAATGATTTTTGGCTCAATTCCATGAGTAGAAAAGGCTATGAAAAATGTTCCATCTGCTTGTCTATCTGCCAGTAGCATAGCTGCTTGTGATAGCTGACTCCCTAGACTTGGCTAAATGAAATTTCTGTGTTTTGTTTATAAAATCTCAAGAAGAGAAAAATGTATAGCTGAGGTTTTCTCATCTTAAAAAGAAGTGCTTTATCAACGTATTTAATATTTCTATTTACTTTTTGAGCCTACCCATTCGCTCTGTTCTTACTTGCTTCAATAAATACGGATTTTTGCATTTTCATGGTTAGATTTTTAATTTCTTTAGTCTTAGAGAATAAAAATTCTTTGGATCGTCAAATGTATTTTGATATATTTTATACATTTACTAGTTTTTTTTTATTTGAAGGAAGTTCCATGAAAGCAAAGACTAGAGTTTACAGTAACCAGCTGTTAGAGAGCTACCAACTTTACTGCCTTGGTCATTACTAAAACAAGGATACACACAAACAAAAGGAGCATAGTTAAAAAAAATTCAGTATTATAACTAATTGGACCTAGAAAATTTATTGTTTTATTTATGTGATTTCTGCTACTTCTAACAAAGTGATTAAGAGTACCAAAGAAATTTCTGCAACACTTCTGGCATTTGACTTCAATTAATCCCTGCTTCCGTCCTTCCTTCCCTTCTTCTCTCTTTTCTTCCTGTCTTCCTGTAAGGGAGGTAATATGATATGGTTCAGATAGCAGGAGGTTAGTAAAGCATTCACTGCACTTAACTAAAGAAATAGCTCTTAATCAAGATTGCATATACAGTATTTCTGTTTTAATTTTAAGTAATAATGAGGGAGAAATAAACTCTATGCTGTTTAAAAATAATTTACAAGAATCACACTGTTTCCATTTTAGGGCTCTGCAGCATCGAGCTGATGTGTCTTGCCTTTGGAAGCTAGTTGGGGATGCTTGCACCAGTTTATATGCTGTCTCACCATCTAAAGTGAATGTTCATGTTGTAGGAGTCCTTCCGGGTCAGAAAGAAGGAAAACAAGTATTGAAGAAAAATGAGCTCCTCCATCTTGGAGGAAGGTAATTTACAAACATTGTCAGTTAATGACATTCAAATTAATTAGAACATTGTAATAAAACATAACATTCACTTTTATGTTTCCATAGGTGTTACGGTCGTGCATTAAAACTGATGTCTACATCTAATACATGGTGTGACCTTGGAATTAATTATTATCGCCAAGCACAACATTTAGCTGAAACAGGCAGCAATATGAATGATCTTAAAGAGTTGCTGGAGAAATCTTTACATGTACGGTTTTGAGAAATTTCTTAATAATTTTTTTAAAAACTAAGTGCTTTCCTGAAAGATGTTTTTGATACATTAAATACTGTAGTTTTTCACATAAAACCCCATTTATTTTGATGTTGTTAGTTGCTGTTGAGTTGATTCTGACTCATGGCGACCCCATTGGGAAAGTGCTGATATTTCAGGAAATGAAAATTAACTTTACTTCTTTGCAGTGTCTGAAAAAGGCAGTGAGACTGGACAGTAATAACCACTTATACTGGAATGCACTTGGTGTGGTAGCTTGTTACAGTGGTGAGAATTGAGTATTACTTATTTCAGTATTTCAGTAGATTACTTGTTTCAGGTGATAAAGACCAGTTTCACCAAAATCTGTATTTTTTAGGTGTTGGAAATTATGCCCTTGCTCAGCACTGTTTCATCAAGTCAATTCAATCGGAACAGATTGTGAGTGTTCTGTATGTCTGTCTATGAGAAAGAACTTTGAAATTTAGTGTTACTAATTTTTTGAGACTTAAATAGACAATGGGACTAATTTTTTTTTTTTTTAAATTTTTTTTACTATGTTGTTTAGAATGCTGTTGCATGGACCAACTTGGGAGTGTTATACCTCACAAATGAAAACATTGAGGTAAATGTGTTGCCTATTTTGTCATATTAAAAATAGAGGTTTTCCATTCCCCACTTCTTGTGGAGAAATACTTTGTACATTGTTATCTATCTAGTATACTCTCAAGTATGCTAGTTAATTGATGGCATTCAATTTATTATGTTGAATAATTATCACGTGAAAATTATTTTTCTTTCTTATCCCACTCAAAAAATGTCTGTTTTTCTAATATGTTGTTCTTTCATTTAGAGATTAAACAACTCTATTATGAATTATTTCAGGAATTTTTCTTTTTAGCTCTACATACGTAAGAGATGCCCTATCTAGACTGAGGTGAGGATGGGGTGGGTAAAGTAAGGGAGACAACTTGTGCTGGTACACTCCAGTGGCTTAAATTTAACCTTTGCTTGGGTAATTTAGACTCGACTTTAGTGGATATGAATCCCTTTAAATACCACAGTGTAATTTGTCATATCTGAGCTGTTATACATCAGGGAATTGAAACTAAAATAACTGGGAGCGTGTTTATAGGTCATGTTTGGAAAGTTTTCGCAAATCTGTAGATAATAGAGCATCTATACTGTGTTGTCTTTCAACTAGTATATTTAGTCTCATCCTTTTTAAATAACTTTAGTAATTCTCAGTGACATGAAATCACTGCAAAGAAGACTAGCTTTAGAGGATTTTAAATAGATTGAAAATAAATATTAATTTGGATCTTGAAATATGTGAAAAATTTAAACAAAGCAACGTGTTAGTAAGCTATGAATGCGATTTTATGGTAGCATGGCGCAGTTGCTGCCCATGAATTTACTTTTTTATAGGAAATAAAAGATAGTTTTCTGGCACACATAGATTATTGAGAAAACAATATAAACAATATAAAGCAGCATATAATAATACGCTATTCCAAGCACGGTGTCTTCAAAGTTTCCTGACGATTTAGTGCAGGTTTATGTTGTTGACCGCTCTGCTGCTTTCAGTAGTAAGTGCATGTTAATTCTTATTCTCCAGTTAAGCCCAGACAAAGGGCAATAGACACATACAGCCTTATTTAATCCCTTCGTTTGAACTTGTGGATGGCACATAGATGGATGAATGGTTAAAATTCTATACCTTTACTGCCTTTTTTGCTGGGGAACCAGAACTCCTAGGCCGGTGGAGAACTCTGTTACACCCAGGAGTGAGCTAGGACTGTGTAGTTAAAACACTGCCTTAAGCATTGCTAATTGGGCTCAAACAGTGACGTTTTTAGGTTCATGCGTATTTATGATGACAGGTCTGACATTTCTTATTCTCTTATTTTATGCTTTTTAAACGTAAGCAATTTAGTATGAAGTTTATAAAATGACTTTATGTAATATCTTCTTTTTCTTTTTCTAGCAAGCTCATGAAGCTTTCAAAATGGCTCAGTCTCTTGATCCATCTTATTTGATGTGCTGGATTGGACAAGTAAGATATATAACATGATTATTAATAAATCTATTGATAAACTATTAATGTCAATATCAATGATAATAATGATAATAGGTAACATTTGAGGGCTTACTTTGTGCCAGTCTCTGGGTTAAAGTCTTTGTATACTTTATTTCAGTAAATTCTTTGTCTTAGTGTCCTAGTGCTGCCATAACTTTGGCTTTAAAGGACAGAAATTTATTGTCTCACAGTTCTGAAGGCTAGAAGTCTGAATTCAGGGCATTGGCAGGTCTGCTCTCACTCTCTCAGCTGCTACTAGCTACTGGCAATTCTTGGCCCTCCTTTGCTGCTTATAGATGCCTGTGTTGTCATGTGACCTCTTCCCCCTGTGTGTGTTTCTGTGCATGACTGTTTTCCGTTTTGAAGACAACACTCAGAAGGGATTAGGTTTAGGACCCACCCTATTCCAATATGACCTCATTAACATACCAAAAGAAAAGCCCTATTTCCAAACAGGATCACATTCACAGGTACAGAGGTTAGGACTTCAGCATTTCTTTCTGGGAGAAACAATTCAATCCATAACATTCTGTATCAGTCCTTTGAGATGGTGGTTATTGTTACATTCTCTTTTTAGATATGGTAATTGAAGCTCGGCGATTTTAAGTATTATGCTCAAGGTCACATAGCTTGCTTGTTATTAAGGTTTGATTTGGGAGGCTTTGAACCACATCAGTGCTTATTTAAAAATAAAAAAACAACTCATTACTGTCCAGTTGATTCCGACTCATAGTGACCTTATAGGACAGAGTAGAACTGCCCCATCGTGTTGTCAAGGCTGTTACAGAAGCAGGCTACTACATCTTTCTCCTACGAGGTGGCTGGTGAGTTCAAACTGCCGACCTTTCAGTTAGCATCCAAGTGCTTAACTGCTGCGCCACCAGCATTTCTTCTGCTTATAAAACAAACCCAAAACTCCATTGTTTAATGCATATTTGCAACGAGAAGATCATTTTCATTATTATGTTTTCTCATTACTTTCTGTGAAATTTTCCTATTTGATTTGGCACTTTTTTGTGAAGGTTCCTTCCTCTAAGTTTAGATTTTTGTACCGCCAAATAGGAGTCGGGATAGTTGGCTTCTAGTCTGAGTTCTGTCACCAACTGATTGTTTTACCTTAACATATCACTTTACTTCTCTGGATTTCAGTTTTTTCACCTGAAAAAGAAGGCAATCGGACTGAGTGGCCTCTAAGATCTTGTCTAGTTGTGAAATTGTAATGAACTAGTAAGTAGTAGATTGTTTTGAAGAAGCCCTGGTGGCGCAACAATTAAGTGCTCGGCTGTTAACCTAAACATTGGCAGCTCAAACCCAACAGGTGGCTATATGTGAGAAAGACCTGGAGATCTGCTCCCATAAGGATTACAGCCTAGAAAACATTATGGGGCAGTTCTATGCTGTCATATGGAGTCACTATGAATCGAAAACAGACTGTTTTGACTCAAGATAATAGGTAGGAGCATCACGTATATCAGAAATTCATTATCAGAGATTCAGTATCTTTCATTGTACCCTTTACTCTTAGGTCTATTCTAGTTAATCTTTGAAGCAGACAGAGAGAGAAAGACAAACTCCTGCTCCCTCTCTAACTGTGGTAGCATCAGGGAGCAGTGACATTACTGTACTAATCTCTATGACAGTTACTGTGCCCAGGGGACCCAATAATTTGAATTCTTTTCCCAGGTAATGATGATGATGGTCCAGGGGCTTCACTTTGAGTAGCACTGCTCTAGGTCAGTTGCTCTCAGATGCTTATAGGAATCACCTAAGTAGTTTTTTACTTTTAAAATTATTTTTATTCTTAAAAATAATTTATTTCAGGAGGAAAATTTGAATTCTTTGAACAGAGTCTCCAGCAATTTAAAGGAGGTGACCAGTAGATTTAATTAAAATGGTAATAGTAGAAGTGAGACTTGATCAGTTGATGATATTAGTAACGTATGATAACTAAAAATACTTGATTTCTTATAAAAGATAGCTTAAAAATAATTTTAACTTATCACATACTTTCTATAAAGCCAAATGCATAGATACGATATTTAAAATTCTGAGGCAGTTTAAAAAATATGTACATGTTGAGCTCTATCACAGACCTATGGAAACTAGGTATCTAAGGATGAGGACATCCTTCTTAAAAAGCTCCCTGCGTAATTCTGAGGTGATCTTGTTATGAAGAACCTATAGTCTAGGCTAATACCAGTATGAATAGATCGGGGCGGGCAGGCGGGGGGACAGGAAGAGGTAGCACAGCCTTATCAGTGTCTAAGGAATTTCATGTAGATTATTTCACCACTGCCTGGTTGCAGGTGGACATCTGGAAGCATTTCAGAACCATGGGAGTATGGAAGCCAAGACTGAAAAAAGAAATTAACTTTGGCTTTAAGCACTGGCTAATAAAACTTTGGTTCTTTCTAACAGTTTCATTACTATTCTTTCCCTTTTAAACACATTAAGAATGTCTTTCCTTCTATAGGCTCTGATTGCAGAGACAGTTGGAAGTTATGACACAATGGACCTCTTTAGGCACACTACGGAACTCAGTATGCACGTAAGAACCTGAGCATTCTTCTTGAGGATTCATTAATGAGTAAAGTATTATCCTGCCTAAGAAAATGAATAAGTAGTGGTGTAAGATGTTAATGACAGCGTTTGCCTCTACTCTCTATTCTTTCTTAGAAGCAGATAAGCTTTCTTGAAGTAAAGAACTTTTAGTTTTAATCTTTCTGTTAGCTTTTCAAGAGCTGATGAAGAAGTGACACTGGGATTTAATAGGTATGGAAGCAGTCATGCAGAAAAACTGAGATCTAGGAAAAAAGTAGACATGAGATAAAGACTAGACTTGGTTGAGAGTTCCAGATTATTTATGAAAGTGTTTTGGAATTCTTTTGTTTGGTAGTTATTAGTTTCGTATGCTTATTGTCCTGTGAGGATGGTGCTGAGAAGGGAAAACCCAACCCATTAGGTGTGGCTGTCTTCTGCACTGTATATTTATCCCATTTGAATCTTCTGCCTAGGATTGGAACACGTGATTTAAATACATTCTTAGCTGTGTTTTGTCATAGTGACCCTTCATTTACGGTACTTAACAGCTGACTTAAAGAAGACTAAGATATGGTATTTATTGTATTGAAGTGCATTATTTTGTTTCCTAATTTTTACTGGCGTATTTATTACACTGTGCCCACATGCTAACTTTGACTTTTTTTTAAAGACCGAAGGTGCAATTGGTTATGCGTATTGGGTCTGTACAACATTGCAAGACAAAAGCAACAGAGAAACAGAACTGTACCGCTACAACATTCTCCAGATGAATGCTATTCCAGCAGCACAAGTTGTTTTGAGTAAATACGTAGGTAAGGTACCTGTTATATAGGCAAGATATTTGAATAACTGTTGAAGTAATTTAAGTAATTACTTTTTACGTTTAATTAATTCAAAATTAAATAGTATTATTCAATAAATGAATTAGCCTTTTTTTTTTTTAATGACTTAAGCAGTCTACTTTTTAAACTTTAGTAGAGGCTTTTGAAGAATGATGAAAATTGTATGTTAAAATCTAATGATCTGAACAAAAATGATCTCCTAGGAGACTGTTTGTGGTGGAAAGCACTTTGAGCCCTAACAGGACTGAACTGCTGCTGCTCTAGCTCTGCTGATTCCTTTCTCGCCTGTCTTGGGCCATTTATTTTACCTCCCTTAACTTCTGTTTACTCCTTGGAAAGTGGAGATTAATACCTAGGCTGTAGAGTTAGTTGTGAGAATTAAATGAAGTGCCAAACCCAGCTCCATTAATCCCCCCCTTTAACACCTGGTTTTTCTTCAGGATATTGTGAAAATATGTTTAGGCTTAGGAAAATGACACTATGGTGAAGTTTTCTTAACCATCTATTGTAATAGTTTCCTTCCTTAATACTACCGTTGGATTTTAATTCCTGCTCCACACTTAGTAGCCATGATGAAACTTTGCATATTACCAAATTGAATTTTAGTTTTCCCATTTATAGTAGATGCGTTAAAATATATGTTAAGAAAAAAAAAGAAACCATTGCCGCTGAGTCAATTCTGACTCATAGTGACCCTATAAGGAAAGAGTAGAACTGCCCCATAGGGTTTTCAAGGAACGGCTAGTGGACCCAAACTGCCAGCCTTTTGGTTAGCAGCCAATCTCTTAACCACTATGCCACCAGAGCTCCAAAATGTATATTGCTTAGAACTTAAAATGATTCATGCAGAAATGCCGTGCACAGTGTCTGGCATATCCTACATGCTCCAGAAATGTTCATATTCCTGCTTATACTCTTTGCTTCTAATTTGATACTTGGTTAGACCAGGCTTTTTAGAATTTTGTCAAGGGACAAATAAAATGTTAATGAAACTAACATATCCTAGATGCTTAAGAAATGTTAAAATTCTAAAAAGCTTGGCCTAACCAAGTATCAAATTAGAAGCAAAGAGTATAAGCAGGAATACTGATCGCAGTAAATATTGTCTGTCGAATAGTATGAAGAATCAGATAAAATGTGAAAAGAGAGAGAGAAAAACACCTCTTCGTAGGTTGTGAGGGATTATAATACCTACCTGCTTCTGTAGCAATTTACCGCCTCGGGAACCCTATGGGGTCACGATGAATCGGAATCGACTCAATGGCAGTGGGTTTGGTTTTGGGTTTTGGTTTGTTCAGTTAGCCTGCGGCACTTGATTAGAAGGAAATGGGTTTACAAATGTCAGGAGTTCAGGGCATTGCTATGTTAGGCAGTATGCCAAAATAAATAACCCTAATGAGTACCTAGAGCCACTGAGAAGTGTGTGGTCAGAAATTTTATTGATAGGTTTCCTAATAGGATGGATAACATTTGTGGAGGATTTACGTAAAGAGGTAACTCTTTTGCTTTCTGCAGAGTTTAGATACCCAAAATAACAAATCATTCCCTAACAGTTTTGATAGCTAGGTTTTTAATTCTGTAGCGGATCCAATTTATATACTCAACAAATTCAACTATGTGTGTTCAAACAACAACAACAAAATTAGAAGAAAAGGGGGAGTGGGATGAGAGAGAGAACGTGGATGATTCATTCCTTCCTCTGTTCTAACAGTTTTGGTGTCAGGGTGAAGGTGGGATGGCCTCAATTTCTGTGTCCTTTTTGTTGTGTAGAGATTTTAGGGATTTTTCAAGAATAACTTTGACTGTACATTTTTATCTTGCTTTTATGTTAGAACCTAATCATCACCTAAGATGTGTTTACCTGTACTTTGTTAATTCAAGACGTTTGAAGGCATACTTCTCAATACTGCTTTTAACTAGATGAGATTTGTTCTGTTTCTCCATTGTACCTTAGGAGATACATGATGTCTTTTGATGTTAAAATTATTGCATTGAAAATGCCCAAATCGTCTTCTGTTTCTAGTGTATAATACTGAGTTATATTGTTTTAAACACATAGAAATTGGAAAAGACCAAGAGAAATCATTGCTAAATTTAATTACAAGAAGGCGTATGTAATTAGCGAAAGAACTGAATTTCCTTGTAAATCTCATGACTAGTTTTACCATGAGGTGGAATTTCAAATTTTTATATTATTGGGAATAAAAAAATGTTTAAACTTTAAAGCATAACTATTAAATATTATCCCGTAATTTAAAAGTTATGATTACAGGCATTTCATATTCAAGATAAAATCAGACCACTGTTCTTAACAATGCCAGTGACTTCAGGGGGTAGTCTAGTGTTTAAGATATTGAAAAAAATTGAAAATAAAACTAACATTTTACAGTTACAACCAGGGTGCACATGTAAAGTAAAGGTATTTCTGGATTTCCAGAAAGAATTCAGGATTATGCTCCAGCTTTCACAATGTTGGGTTACTTAAATGAACATCTACTACTGAAAAAGGAAGCGGCAGATGCATACCGAAGGTAAACTATACATTTAACTGAAATACTCTGTCTTTATCAGTTGGCATGTTTTAGTTAGTCTAGTTATTGAGACTAAATGTTCTGACTCCTTTCTTGATCTTTCGTTATATATGATTATATTGTAAACAGTGAAAAGATGGAGTACCAAGTTTTCAACTATATTTTGGTTTCTGTTGCCTAACCTAAAAGGAAGGAAGAAAACAAAACAAAAAAACCCTTGGATTTGATGTTAGAAAAATCTGTCCTCTTAGAACTTTTCTGGCCTTATTAAATACATGTATTTAATCAAAGGAGAAATGAGAACTTTATGATGTATTCATCTGAATCATTTTAATAGCTACTACATGTTTATTCATTCAACAAATATCTGTTGAGCTGCAGTGTCCTTGACGCTGGTAATTTAGCAGTGAATTAGAACAGACACAGGCCCTATTCTCATGGAACTCACATTCTGGTGGTGGGAGACACATAGTAAGCTAATAATCATCTGCAATGGTAATAATTGCTAAGAAAGAAAATCAAAGTAGGAAAAAGGGACAGAGAATGTAGGATCAGAAAGTGACATTTTAGATAAATTAAAGAGGCGTAGATATGCTAACGTGACAGTTGAACCTTCATCTGGATGAGGTGAGGCAACAAACCATTTGGTTATCAGGGGAAAAGCGTTCCTGGTGGAAGAAACAGCAAGAGCAGGTGTTCTGAAACAGGAGTGGACTTGGCATGTTTGAGAAACAAGGAAGTCAGTGTGCTAGAATGAAAAGATCAGTGGGGAGAGTGGTGGGAAATGAAATTAACTTCAATTTTATTCTGTGCAAATTAATTGATTGGTGATTAAGAAAATAACTATTGATCTCATGAGTAACTATGAGATGAAAAGTTAAAAGACCTGATTGCTTAACGTCTGAGACACATTTTCGCCCCAAATCTAATAGATATGTAAAAGAAGCTTTGCCAGATAAATAACTGAGGTATCCCAAATGCTTTGGCATATCCCTTTAAGGACCTATCCGCAATTCAGAGGCGTAATCACTAGATGGTACTGGAGGCTGTATAATCAAGAAGTTATTTTTTCCGCAGTGGTTAAGTGTTTGGCTGCTAACCAAAAGGTCAGCAGTTCAAATCCACCAGCTGCTCCTCGGAAACTCTTATGAGGCAGTTCTAGTCTGTCTTATAGGGTTGCCATGAGTCGGAATCGACTCGATGGCAGCAGGTTTGGTGTTTTTTGGTTATAAGTGGAGAATGGTTTATAAGAAACCACAATTTTATTTCTTTGAGTATCAGTAAACATACCAGTAAACAAACTTTTTGAATGTGGTAGAATACAAGAGTGAGCAGGCTTTTTAAACAGAAAACTAAACAGCTTTAGGGTGCTTGCCACTTTGTTGTATGTATTATAAGCTTTGGCTTAAAATGTCAACTCTGTAGACACTTGAATATGCACCAGTCTTTCTTGACTGATCACCACTGTTGTTTTCCTTCCTTAAACAAGTGTCTGAGGCTTAAAGCCACAAGGTAGCTATGAATCTAGCCACAAGGGATATGGTCTTTAATCTCTGTAACACTGTCTTTTTAGGCTTCTTAGCAAATTTTTCTCATTTTAACATCAGAGGAATAAAAAGCCTTTCTTGGATATTTCTCAGTGATTAAGTGCTTGGCTGCTCACCAGAAGATTGGTGTTTTCAAACCCACTCAGTGGCTCCATGGCAGAAAGACCTGTGTTCTGCTCCCGTAAAGAGTACAGCCTAGAAAATCCTGTGGGGCAGTTCTGCTCTGTCACGTAGGGTCGCTATGAGTTGAAATTGACTTGACGACACCTAACAACAAGCCTTTTAAACAGAAAATTAAAAAAAAACTTTTTTTTTACTAAATATTCTACTTCTAATCGTCAAGACGTTTTCCTACGTGCCCAAAGGGAACAGCACAAGAAAGAAATATGCAAGATCGTGTGTGTCTATTCTAAGCCTCCAGGGCCTCTTGATGGCTCTTTCACTTCTCTAAGCTTAATATTGCTTAAATGTTTTTCTGTATATAGCAGTCAAGGACACATGAAAGCATTCAATCTTGTGGCTCAAACTACTAATATATAAATATTTTTAAGAGTGTTTTCCATATACCCCAAATATATCAAAACTTCAAACGGTGACACAAAAGTTCCCCATATTTAGATCAAAATTTTTGGAGTATTTAGAACTCAAATACAATAAATTATTTGACTTTCTGTTATTTTCCTGATAATCTAAAATCTAAATATATATAAGTGCTTTTGGTACCAACTTATTAGCTATAAGCTGTTATAACTAGCATTAAAAATTAATAGAATTAAATGAAGAAAAAATCTGTAGAGTCAACTAAGGAGGAAAGGTAGAAGAATATTATTGCGCATAGATAATTAACAATATCTCGTCCTTTTTTAAAGGGCAATTTTGTTGTTACAGACTTCGGAAGACCAGGATACTTATAATGTTACAGTAAGAAATTATGGCAGATTGTTATGGTAAGCATATTTTTTTCCCCATTAATTCTGTGACTCTGTTGGGTGTTTCCAGTGAAAGCCATGAGACCGGTGAGGTGGTGAACAATTTGCAGAGTAGTGGGACATGTATACACGAGGAGAATGATGACATTCCCCAGGATATGTCATTCCCACAATATCAGGCTGTGTTAACAGTTTTATGTACCTCTAACAATACCTAACCCCAGTATAAGAAACTGATGGTTTAGATCAAGTTTCGAACTGGTATTTGCAGACTGGACAAGAGATCATGTAAAAGAGAGGCAGTGGCTGTCTTTAATAGTAGAAGCCTGGTTAATTGGAAGAGGAATTGAATTTATTCTGTTTTGCTGTAAATCCTTAAACTGGAGATTTATTTTAGGGGTCCAGGAACCCTTTGAAATTTTATGCATAAAATTGTGTGTGTGTGCATTTTGGGAGTAGAGAGGGAATCATATAGATTTCCTCAGATTCTCAAAGATATCTGACTCCCCCTCAAAAATAATAAAAACCAGTTGTTTTAGAGGGTGGAACCAGGACCAGAAATTGGAAGTATTATGGAAGGAAGATTTCCTAAAGTTGAGAGCTGCCCCAGAATTGAATGGTTCAATATGAACATTATTAGAACTATGGCTTGATGTTTTGGGATTAGTGCTTGCATCTTTTAAGGAGCTATATACAGTCGGCACTCCGTATCCACGAGTTCCACATCTGTGGATTCAAACAACGATCAAAAATATTCGGGGGGAAAGAAGTTCTGAAAAGCACAACTTGAATTTGCCACACACTGAGCACTACACTGAGTCCACGCGAATGAAGTGATATTGTAGGCGTACCCTGCTGTAGCCTCCCACCATTTCATGGATTCTCAGTCTCTCTCCAGCGTTCATTGTCTGAGCATTGTTCACCTGGCATCTTGTCATTATTCCCTGAACAATATAGTACTGTATGACAGTTATTTACATAGCATTTACATTGTATCAGGTATTATAAGTAATCTACAAATGATTTGAAGTATACAGGAGGATGTGAATAGGTTATATGCAAATACTATGCCATTTTATTTAAGGGACTTGAGCACCTGAGGATTTTGGTGTTCATGGAGGTCCTGGAACCAATCCCCTGTGGATTCCAAGGGACTGTAGTCGAGTTCTGAGATAGCCAGTTCTTTTCTGTTGTAACTATATACCTGCATCATATCCATAAACAGGAAAACTTTACTGTCCTCCCACTTCAATTCTTTTAAACTATTCTATTTAGGATTTGGTAGAGCTCTGTCAGTTCCAAGAATTTCTTGAAGCAGAGGATAGATATGTTATAAGAAATTGTATGGAATACAATGTCTGTTCTGCTTAGTTGATGTTTCATTTAATGTAAACATAATATTTTAGAAGAAAATTTTTATCTTCCTGTGAAAATAGTTTGTCTGTTTTCTTTTTATTTTTTTAACAAATATTTCAAACATGCAGTAAGTAGTAAAGTATAGAGCTTAATTTAATAAATACCACTCAGATGTAACAGATCTTAAAATTTTGTCAATTTGCTTCAGATTTCTTTTTCAAAGAAAGTTACAGGTAAAGTTGAAGTCCCCTTGTCCTATTCTTCTCTCTCTCCGAACTAATCACCTTTGAAGATGGTGTTTATTTGTAAAAAATACTTTTAATATATATGTATATGTCCATTAATGCTCTAAGGTAGCTTTCTTTCCTTTTTCAAAATATCTCTCAAAATCAGAATTTATTCGTTTTATAAATCCTCTTACTTTCATAAAATTTTAGAAGCAAAAGATTGCCTGTATTTTTCGCTTCCACCCATACGACCCAAGGTGAAAAAGATTTTATGAAAAGATTTCCAACAGAACATTAAAAATAGAAGCAGATTTGGATTATAGTGATAGATACCAGAAGAATCACAAAGATAACAGTGTTTCTATCCCAAGTGATGACAGCTTATAAAACTTCTCTTCATTTTTAAATAAGCAAAGCAAATTATTTTTCTGTTATTAATAACTGTTGCACTTAAGTATCATGTATGACAATTTATATTCCTCTTCCTATTAAACATAGAAAAGCTTATATAGTTTTGTCTATGGAATTTTAGTGTAAATTTCAAAATTTGAATGGATGGTGGATCCAAAGAAAATGGATGTGTATATGAACAGTTTCCACAAGGTTAGATTTATTCTGACTAGGTATTCTGTGTCTTGTTAAGCTTATCAAAGATGCTAGAACCATACTCATAAAGTAATATTTAACTAATGTATTAAGCTTTAGAACATTAGAGTACTATGTAAAAAATCAACTTGAAATTATTTTTGTAACTTGGAATTTTAATTAAAGTTTGTTGAAAGAAACTTTGTAATTTAGCAGAGCTAGTCATTTTCACATGTAATTTAAAAGAAGCAAACTTTAATTTTAAATCCCCCAGTACATCCTATTTGAAATAAGTGATATGCTTTCTATTTTAATTTTTAAGTCTTTTCTACAGCTTTAACACAAATAGATTATAGTTTTTTCTGAATTCCCACCATGAAAAAGAAGGTGTAGATGAAGTTATTAAAAGAACTTTTGTGTAATAATATCTGTATATTTTAATGATGCAAGCCAGAATTATTTTTGATATTAAAAGTAAGTTGCATTTTGCTTCTTAGTTCCATTGGCGAATATGATAAAGCTATCCAGGCTTTTAAGTCAACACCCCTGGAAGAGTTGGAGGACATCATAGGTCTCGCATTAGCTTTATTTTTGAAGGGTCTATATAAAGAGAGCAGCAAAAGTGAGTATATTACTTGAAGCTAAAGGACATGTCTTACTGTTCCAGAGCTAGGTACAACTTATTCATGATGAGCTTACATGCAGAAAGATATAATGTTGAGATGGGGGGGGGTGGTTGCTATGTATTAAATGTGATTAGGAGTCAGAAACAATACTTGGCCCTTTTTACCTATTACCTTATTTAGTACATTATTATGATGAATTGTCCTTATAGCAGTGTTACGAGCTGAGTGTTATCTTCATTTTACAGATGAGGAACCTGAGGCCCAAGATCACTTATGGTAGATATCTGAGTTAGCATTTGAAAGCAGCTCTTCACTACCCCACACTGCTTAAATATAACTTTCTGATAAATGAAGACTTCAGCTATTGTTTGTAATGATAGATTTTAGTTTATCCAAAAATGCTAACTGAGTGCATGTCCACATATATGGGTCTAGCTCATTGTAAGTACCCACACTGCATGATGGAATTGCTGGTCTCCACATGGGAATTTTGGTGGTATCTCAGTGGCTACAGGATTCCACTTCTGGCCTGCGCTGGCTCTTGAAGATAGTGACTCAGATTCTTAAGTCAGAAGTTGGAGAATGTCACATAATAATTCTAATGATATCCACAGGATCACCTTGGAACAGCTAAACTAAGATTATTATAAATCCATATTCTATCCCCTTGTAAACAGGGAACAATTAAAATATAATTTCAGTTAGATCATTTTGAAAAATAGGATTAGGAAAGGAAAAATTCCACAAAAGTTTGTCAGTCAGGATTGATTTTATTTTGTTTTGTTTTTCTTTCCAACTGTGTATAACAGCCTATGAGAGAGCCTTGTCTATTGTTGAATCAGAGCAAGACAAAGCACATATCTTGACAGCGCTGGCAATAACAGAGTATAAACAAGGAAAAATGGACACAGCCAAGACATTGCTCTTTAAATGGTATGTATAGTTGACATTAAAGCTTAACATGACCACATACTTAACTATTTGAGATAAAATTCAAAGCAATGTAAATGAATTCTTAATATTGTAGGAGAGAAAAAGGATTGTGCCCACCTGGTTCTGAATTGACAGTTGGGGCTAGAGATCCTGGTTTAATTCTTAGCCCTGGATCCATCAGATCCTTCAAAATCATTATTTCCTGTACTTTGTGTGTATTATTTTTTAAGGAGCCCTGGTGGTACAGTGGTTAAGCACTTGACTGCTAACCGAAAAGTTCGAACCCACCAGCTGCTCCATGGGAGAAAGATGTGGCGGTCTGCTTCCATAAAGATTACAGCCTTGGAAACCCTATGGGCAGTTCTACTCCATCCTATATGGTGGCTATGAGTCAGAATGGACTCAACAGCAGTGGGTTAAAAGAGTAATTCATCACCTTATGTAGTAGGATTTTGTATATTAGTATTAGATAGTTTTTGTTTTTTCTTTTTAAGGCAAGGCAAAAATTGGAATTTTCTTTTTTAATCAATATTGAAATTTATATAACACTATCTGCTTTTTTTTTTCTCTCTTATACCAAATTATACTGTAGTTGTTTGTACTGATAGAAGTGACTATGGCTAATTAACGTCCTTTTATGTTTGGACTCTGATATCTGTTAACCTGTATAGTAAAGAGAGTTACTATGTATACTTTAAAGTAAGCTATTTACTCCAGAGCTGCCTGTGAAAATTCTTGATTATAAATAATGTTTATAAAAACTAAGTGAAAAGCATTTTGTTTCCCCTTTTAAAAAATAGTAGAAAGATACACTGGTAAATATGTGATTTTTTTATTTTTATTTTTTATTTAATTGTACTGTAAGTGAAAGTTTACAATTGAAGTTAGTTTCTCCTACCAAAATTTATATATACATTGTTATGTGACCCTAGTTGTTCTCCCTATGACAGCACACTCCTCTTTTCCACCCTGGATTTTCTGTGTCCATTCAACTAGCTCCTGTCCCTTTCTGCCTTCTCATCTCACCTCCAGACAGGAGCTGCCCATTTCGTCTTATGTATCTACCTGAGCTAAGAAGCACTCTCTTCACAAGTATAATTTTATGTTTTATAGTCCAGTCTAATCTTTGTCTGAGGAGTTGGCCTCAGGAGTGGTTTCAGTTTTGGGCTAATAGAGAGTCCGGGAGCTATGTCTTCCGGGGTCCCTCCAGTCTCAGTCAAACCATTAAGTCTGGTCTTTTTACTAGAATTTGAGTTCTGCACCCCACTTTTCTCCTGCTCCATCAGGGACTCTCTGTTGTGTTCCCTGTCAGGGCAGTCATTGGTGGTAGCCGGGCACCATCTAATTCTTCTGGTCTCAGGCTGATGGAGTCTCTGGTTTATGTGGCCCTTTTGTCTCTTTGGCTAATATTTTCCACGGGTCTTTGGTGTTCTTCATTTTCCTTCATTCCAGGTGGTTTGGGACCAGTTGACACATCTTAGATGGCCACTCTCTGGCTTTTAAGACCCCAGATGCCACTCACCAAAATGGGATGCAGAACATTATCTTAATAAACTTTGCTAATGCCAGTTGACCTAGATGTCCCCCGAAAGCATGGTCCGCAGAACCCTGCCCTTGCTACTCTGTCCCTCAAAGTGTTTGGTTGTATTCAGGAAACTTCTTAGCTTTTGGTTTAGTCTAATTGTGCTGACTTCCCCTGTATTGTGTGTTGTCCTTCCTTTCACCTGAGATAATTCTTGTCTACTATCTAGTTAATGAATTCTGCTCTCCCTCCCCTCCCTCGTAACCATCAAAGAATGTTTTCTTTTGTGTTTTAACCTTTTCTTGAATTCTTAAAATAGTGGTCTTATACAATATTTGTCCTTTTATGACTGACTAAAGTCACTCAGCATAATGCCTTTCAGATTCATCCATGTTATGAGATGTTTCATGGATTCATCGTTGTTCTTTATCATTGTGTAGTATTCCGTTGTGTGAATATACCATAATTTGTTTATCCATTCGTCTGTTGACGGTTGCCTAGGTTGTTTCCATCTTTTTGCTATCGTGAACAGTGCTGCAATGAACATGGGTATGCATATATCTATTAATGTGATGGTTCTTATTTCTCTAGGATATATTCCAAGGAATGGGATAGCTGGATCATATGGTACTTCTATTTCTACCTTTTTAAGGAAGTAAAAAATTGATTTCCAAAGTGGTTGTACCATTTTACATTCCCACCAACAGTGTATAAGTGTTCCAGTCTCTCCACAACCTCTCCAGCATTTATTATTTTGTGTTTTTTGGATTAATGCTAGCCTTGTGGGGGTGAGATGATATCCTATTATAGTTTCGTGTGACAGATCTTACTTCATTAGGATATATTCCAAGGAGTAGGATTGCTGGATTGTATGGTACTTCCATTTCTGGCTTTTTAAGGAAGCACCAAATCGATTTCCAAAGTGGTTGTACCATTGTACATTCCCACCAACAGTGTATAAGTGTTTCAGTCTCTCCACAGCCTCTCCAACATTTATTGTTTTGTGTTTTTTGGATTAATGCTAGCCTTGTTGAGGTGAGATGGTATGTCATGGTAGTTTTAATTTGCAGTTCTCTATTGGCTAATGATCGTATTTCCCCATGTATCTGTTAGCTGCCTGAATGTCTTCTTTGGTGAAGTGCCTGTTCATATCCTTTGCCCATTTTTTAATTGGGTTATTTGTCTTTTTGTTTTGAAGTTTTGCAATATGTTGTAGATTTTAGAGATTAGATGCTGATCAGATTTCTCGTAGCCAAAAATTTTTTCCCAGTCTGTAGGTTGCGTTTTTACTCTTCTGGTGAAGTATTTTGATAAGCATAAGTGTTTGATTTTTAGGAGCTCCCAGTTATCTAGTTTCTCTTCTGGTGTTTGTACGTTGCTACTTATGGTTTGTATTCTGTTTATGCCATGTATTAGGTCTCCTAGCATTTCCCTATTTTTCTTCCATGATCTTTATCATTTTAGATTTTATATTTAGGTCTTTGATCCATTTAGAGTTAGTTTTTGTGCATGGCATGAAGTATGGGTCTTGCTTCATTTTTTTGCAAATGGATATCCAGTTATGCCAGCACCATTTGTTAAAGAGACTATCTTTTCCCCACTTAACGGACATTGGGTGTTTGTCAAATATAACCTGCTCATAGATGGATGAATTTATGACTGGATTCTCAATTCTGTTCCATTGGATGTATCTGTTGTTGTACCAGTACCAGGCTGTTTTGACTACCGTGGTATAAATAGGTTCTAAAATCAGATAGTGTGAGGCCTCCTGCTTTGTTCTACTTCTTCAGTAATGCTTTACGTATCCGGGGCCTCTTGCCTTTCCATATGAAGTTGGTGATTTGTTTCTCTGTCTCCTTAAAAAATGCTGTTGGAATTTGAATCGGGATTGCATTGTTTCTGTAGATCGCTTTGGGTAGAGTTGACATTTTCACAATGTTGAGTCTTCCTGTCCATGAGCAAGGTATGTTTTCCACTTATGTAGGTCTCCTTTGGTTTCTTGCAGTAGTTATCTTGTAGTTTTCATTGTATAGGTCTTTTATGTCTCTGGTTAGATTTATTCTTAAGTATTTTATCTTCTTGGGGGCTATTGTAAATGGCATTGATTTGGTGATTTCTTCTTCAAAGTTCTCTTTGTTGGTATAGAGGAACTCAACTGATTTTTGTTTGTTTCTCTTGTATCCTGATACTTTGCTGAACTCTATTAGCTTCAGTAGTTTTCTTGTGGATTCTTTGGGGTTTTCTGTGTATAAGATCATATCATCTGCAAATAGAGATACGTTTACTTCTTCCTTAGCAATTTGGACGCCCTTTATTTCTTTTTCTAGCCTAATTCTTCTGGCTAGGGCCTCCAGCACAATGTTGAATAAGAGTGGTGATAAAGGGCAGCTTCGTCCGGTTCCCATTCTCAAGGGGACATGCTTTCAGACTGTCTCCATTTAGGATGATGTTCTCTGTTGGCTTTGAATAAATGCCCTGAATTATGTTGAGGAGTTTCCCTTCTATGCCTATTTCACTGAGAGTTTTTGTCATGAGTGGTTGTTGAACTTTGTCAAATGCCTTTTCTACATCAATTGATAAGATCATGTACTTTTTGTGTTTTGTTTTATTTATGTGATAGATTACACTGATTGTTTTTCTAATGTTGAACCATCCCTGCATACCTGGTATAAATCCCACTTGGTCATGGTGAATTATTTTTTTAATATATTGTTGAATTCTTTTGGCTAGAATTTTGTTGAGGATTTTTGCGTCTGTGTTCATGAGGGATATTGGTCTGTAATTTTCTTTTTTTGTGATGTCTTTACCTGGTTTTGGTATTAGGGTTATGCTGGCTTCATAGAATGAGTTTGAGAGTATTCCATCCTTTTCTGTGCTCTGAAATACCTTTAGTAGTAGTGGTGTTAACTCTTCTCTGAAAGTTTGGTAGAATTCTCCACTGAAACCATCAGGGCCAGGGCTTTTTTTTGTTGGGAGTTTTTTAATTACCTTTTCAATTTTTTCTTTTGTTATAGGTTTATTTAATTGTTCTACCTCTTGTTTGTGTTAGTTTAGGTAGGTAGTGTGTTTCTAGAAGTTTGTCCATTTCCTCTAGGTTTTCAAATTTGTTAGAGTACAATTTTTCATGGTTTTCTGTTGTGATTCTTTTAATTTCAGTTGGGTCTGTTGTGATATCACCCATCTCATTTCTTATACAGGTTATTTGCTTCCTCTCTTGTTTTTCTTTTGTCAGTTTGGCCAGTGGTTTATCAATTTTGTTGACCTTTTCAAAGAACCAGCTTTTGGTCTTGTTAATCAATTGTTTTTCTATTCTCTATTTCATTTAATTCTGCTCTAATTCTTATTATTTCCTTTCTTCTGGTGCCTGAGGGCTTCTTTTGCTGCTCTCTTTCTGCTTGTTCCACTTGTAGGGTTAATGTATTGATTGTGGCCCTTTCTTCTTTTTGGATGTGTGAATTTATTGCTATAAACTGACCTCTGAGCACTGCTTTTGCTGTGTCCCAAAGGTTCTAGTAGGATGTGTATTCATTCTTATTTGATTCTGTGAATTTCTTTATTCCATCCTTAATTTCTTCTATAACCCAGTAGTTTTTGAGCATGGTGTTATTCAATTTCCATGTTTGATTTTTTTTTTTCCCTTCCTTTTTCTGTTACTGATTTCTACTTTTATGACTTTGGTCAGAAAAGATGCTTTGTAATATTTCAGTGCTTTGAATTCTGTTAAGGCTTGCTTTATGGCTTAATATGTGGTCTGTTCTGGAGAACGTTCCATGTGCTTTGGAGAAGAAAGTATACTTGGCTGCTGTTGGATGGAGTGTTCTGTATATGTCTATGAGATCAAGTTGGTTGATTATGGCATTTAAATCTTCCATGTCTTTATTGACCTTCTTTCTGGATGTTCTGTCCTTCACTGAAAGTGGTATGTTGAAGTCTCCTACTATTATTGTGGAGCTGTCTATCTCTCTTTTCAATGCTGTTAGAGTTTATGTATTTTGGAGCCCTGTCATTGGGTGTATAATATTTATTATAGTTACGTCCTCCTGGTGTATTGACCCTTTAATTATTGTATAGTGTCCTTCCTTATCCTTTGTAGTGGATTTTACTTTAAAGTGCATTTTGTCAGAGATTAATATTGCCACTCTTGCTCTTTTTTGATTGTTGTTTGCTTGATATGTTTTTTCCTATCCTTTGAGTTTTAGTTTGTTTGTGTGTTTAAGTCTAAGATGTGTCTCTTATAGGCAGCATATAGATGGATCACGGTTTTTTTTTTATCCATTCTGCTGCTCTCTATCTCTTTATTGGTGCATTTAGTCCATTTACATTCAGCATAATTATTGATGGGTATGAGTTTAGTGCTGTCATTTTGATTTTTTGTGTGCGTGTATTTGTGTTGTTGACAGTTTTCTTTGTTCCACTTAATTTTCTGTGCTAAGTCATTTTTCTGTATGCATTTTCTTTTTATCTTTTTCATTGTTGTTGATTTTGTATTTGCTGTGTCTTTTTATGTTTTTCTTCTTTTTTATTTTGACGTGTAGGATTGTTAGTTTCCCTTGTTTTTAACTTAATATTTACCCCTGTTTTTCTAAGTTTAAACCAGTCTTTTATTTCTTGATATTGCCTTGACTCTCTCTCCATATGAAAGATCTCTGACTACATTTTTTAGTCCCTCTTTTTTGTTTTAATATTGTCATCTTTTACATACTGACGTCCCTGTTTCCCTGTTGTCAGTGTTTTTGCTTTGATTTACTTTTGTGATTTCCCGGTCTGGGTTGATATCTGGTTGCTGTGTCCTGTGTTCTTTTCATGGGTTTTCTGATGTTACTGATTTTCTAACCAAAGGACTCCCTTTAGTATTTCTTGTAATTTTGGTTTGGTTTTTGCAAATTCCCTAAACTTCTGTCTATCTGGAAATGCCCTAATTTCGCTATCATATATGAGAGACAGTTTTGCTGAATATATAATTCTTGGGTGGCAATTTTTTTCTTTCAAGGCTTTATATGTGTTATCCCATTGCCTTCTTGCCTGCATGATTTCTGCTGAGTAGTCTAAGCTTAGTCTTATTGACTCTCCTTTGCAGATGACTTTTCATTATTCCTAGCTACTCGTAAAGTTCTCTCTTTATCTTTGGTTTTGGCAAGTTTGATTATAATATGCCTTGGTGACTTTCTTTTAGGATCTACCTTATGTGGCATTCGATGAGCATCTTGGATACATATATTCTTATCTTTCACAATATCAGGGAAGTTTTGTGCCATCAAATCTTCAACAATTCTCTCTGTATTTTCTTTTATCCACCCCTATTCTGGTACTGCAATCACTTGTAGGTTATTCTCTTGATAGAGTTCCGCATAATTCTTAGGGTTTCTTCATTTTTTTAAATTTGTTCATCTGATTTTTCCCCAAATAAGTTGGTGTCAAGTGCTTTATCTTCAATCTCACTAATTCTGACTTCCATTGCCTCAACTCTGCTCCTGTGACTTTCTATTGAGTTGTCTAATTCTGAAATTTTATTGTTAATGTTCTGATTTGTTTGCTGTCTCTGTATGGATTCTTGCTGCCTGTTAAATTTGTCATTATGCTCTTCTCTAATCTTCTTAAATTCCTCTGTTGCTTTGTCTGTGTGTTCCTTGGCTTGTTCTGCGTTTTATATGATCTCCATCTTGATCTCTTGAAGAATTCTGTATATTAATCTTTTGTATTCTACCTCTGGTAATTCCAAGAAGTTCTCTTCCTCTGGAAAATTTCTCAGTTCTTTGTTTTGGAAGCTTGCTGAAGCCATTACGGTCTGCCTCTTTACATGATTTGATATTGACTGTTGTGTTTGCTTACTGTGTCCTAGCTTCTTGTTTTGTTTTGTTTTGATATGCCCAGATAGGCTGCTAGTGTGTGCTGGTTTGATTATTGGTGCCTTTGAAGCTCTAACGTCCTGTCCCCAGGTGGTTAGATCTGTTACTAGGTATGTAAGCCCAGTAATCAGTTTACTTTTCTTGTATGGATTCAGCTCAGGTGTCCATGTAGTCGGTCCCCAAGTGTCTGTTGCAGGCTCTCACCTACAGTCCTAGACAGATAGGGGTGATTGCTGCAGGCACAAGTATCTGGCTGCAGCAGGGTTTCATGCGCTGAGTAAGGCAGAGGGCTGACGGCTGCCCCTGAGTTTCTGGGAGGAAAGCGTATCCCTGTTCACTAGAGCGCGTAGGCAGGTGGGTTTTGCAGCCGGACTATGGACACCAGATGGTGTTGGCTGTAAGACCTGGAAGGCACCACTTATATTTGGACCCCTGTCATGGTGGCTAGGTGGCATGGGTGGAGCCACCAGTCCTCAGGCCCCTGATGTGGGTAGGTGAGGACCCTGCTTAATAGGAAGAGCAGTGTCAAATGTCATGAACCTGCTACTCCACCATATAGCTGATACAGTTGAAGTTAGGGTCCAGGTATATACCCTGTTGTACGGTGCTAATGAGGGCCTACTCTGTTGAAAGGGGCCCGCACAGGTCTGTGCAGGGGTGAAAGGCATTCAAAGTCTGTGGACCGCTTATGCCTGTGCCTAGGCAAAGGAGGTCGCCTACCCTGAGTTCCCAACTTAAAGGAGCTGGCAGATTATTTTTTCCTGTTTCTTAATTTATTCCTTCTCCAAGGCTGGGGGAATGGCTCAGGGCGCGTGACGTGTCCTACTTCTGGCCCAGGGGACACAACAGTCGCTGAATTCGGCCTGGGGCGTGGTGCAGAGTGGGAGAGTGCAGGTAAATGGGATAGAGATTTTTCCCAAAGTGGGTGTTTTTTGATCCACACAGTACGTCAGATGCATGTAGTTATCTTTTGCTGATTGAGCACAGCTTCTCACTGGTTCTGGAGGCCTGAGTAGACTCTCTGCTGGTCGGTCTCTCCCAATGTAGAAAAAGCCTCCCGAGCACCACTTCTTACCTCACTGTGCACACCAGCCAATCTGACCTGAAGGGTGCCGGCTTCCGCCAGGTCAGGTCTGGCACTCCTTGCTGCTTCTGAACCATCTCTCCATCCTCTTGCCGCTCAGTCCAATTCCTCAACTTTGCCTTTGATGTTCAGGGCTCCTAGATTGTCATATATAATCAATTCAATTGTTTATTCGGGTCTTTGTTGTAAGAGGGACCACTGGAAGCATCTGACTACTCCGCAATCTTGGCCCTACTTCCAAGATACGATTTTTTTTAATGTGAGAAGTGTTTCTATTAAATTTAAATGAACTGTGTTAAGAAGTTTTTGAAAGTTCCGTGTTTTGTGTTAGTAAAAAAATCCATAATAATTTTTAGAAATATTAATGAGTTTGTAGAGAGCTAAGGTTTTCTTTTTTAAAATTAGTAAGGATTCCTAAACATTATTGACTTTTCCAATCATAAGGCTAAATCTGATTTCACAGTTCAAAGAAAAAAAAGAATGCTAGATGTTTACCTATAAAATACAAATTCTCCTTAAATTTTAAAAATACTTACTTGGAGTATGGTACAGTAGATATGATTTGTGCTTATAAAGTTCTAGTTTCAATAATATCAAGCAAATAGGACAAAGCTTTCTCAGAATGATAAAAATCAAATCTTACATTGAGAAGTTTCTTTTTTATTATTCATACATTTTAGAGTTTTATTGAAAGTAACTCAACATTTTGGCAAGTTTATTCTAATTATTTACCTAGAACTGAAACCCAGTTAAATATAATGACCAGAAAAGAAACTTGGCTATTGCTCTGTGAATGGCCATTGATACTTTCAACTACTTCAGGCAAGCAGGGAAATTTTTGTATGTAGAAGCTAGGAAATTTGCTCTATATTACTCTCTAAAGCTGAGCTTAGTTTGTGAATCTTTGAGTAAATTGCTTTGTGCACTTAATGTTAAATATCTTTTAATAGTTACAGATAAAAAATGACTACTTATGGCTAATAGACAATTAAAAAGTATATTTACAGTTCTATCTTAAAGGAACCAACCGCAGAAAGCCTTCAAGCCCTGTGTGCTCTAGGATTGGCAATGCAGGATGTTACACTATCCAAAGCAGCACTTAATGAATTACTGAAGCACATCAAACAGAAAGACAATGGTTATCAGAGGTACCTTCTTACTGCAGCTATTTATGCACTCCAGGGCCACAGTGTGGCAGTACAGAGACAAGCATCCAAAGCTGTTCACAGGTAAATTCTGTACATGTGAACTTGCTACCTAATTATACATTATTATGTAGTTGTCTGACATTTAGACATTATTAAGAATATAAAATAAGGTAAGTATATATATTTGGAAACCAAATTGTGACTTTAAGAAACTGTACACAGGACAAGGTCACTGCCTGTACGTATTATTTCATCTATAAAGTTTTTTGTTTTTTTTTTTTTAATTCAGTTGATAAAGAGATAGAGAACAAAAACTTGGCCCTTATTTAGGTTAAGGCCCAAATCTTGCTTTAATATGAAATCTCTTACTATTTCTCGAGTTTGTAATATTGTCAGTCTGTTATTCAGTACTGTTCAGGTTGATGGTTTTAGGACATTTTTAGCCACTGAAACATTCATTAACTCTTTAAAGTGTTAAAAATAGAAAGCTGTTAGCACTAGCAACACTGATTATTTGTTTTATTTTCAACAATAAGATACTGTATCCTTCCCTAGTTCGTTCTTATTGACAGTCTTTGCTTCCTAGTTATATTTTTTAAAGATTAGATTTCTTTTAATATAAAGTTTATTCCTTGTGATGTCATTTCTGTTACAAGTAATTTTCCCTCTACACAATATTATTTGTCCTATAATCTTTCATCTTTTTGTATTTCTTTGAACACAGTATATTAAATTTTATTAACCTTTCTTGCTTCGTGGCTTTGCAGTCATCACTTTGCTGGTTTTTCCTTCTTATTTGCATAAAGACTGTTGGTGTATATAATAGACATAAATTTTAATTTATAAAAATTAAGACACTTTCAAACAAACGTGGGCAATTAATATGAACCGTTTTAGATTTCTGAAAGGTCTTAAACATAGGTGCTAAATAAAATGTTGATAGTTTATAGGTACTTTTTCTGGTAAAGTGACTCCCGTCTCTAAGCCTGCTACTTTTGATATCTCCATAGTAACCCAGCTGACCCTGCTCTTTGGTCTCTGTTGTCCCGAGTGGTTGCTCAGTATACTCAGCGAAATGCAAAGGTGAGTAATGTTACAAGTTTCGGCAAAAACGTAAAATAGCTTGTGTTGTGGGAAATGACATAATACTAAATTATCATCTGGAAAATAATTAATACAGTGAGGAAGTTCTGTTATTTAACCAAGTTTTCCATTAGTCACTCAACAAGTAGCACACTGAGTTTCCTCTGTGTACTGTTGTACTGTTCTAGGTGTTGTGGAAGATACAAAGAAAAAGAAATAAGTGGACCTTTTTGAACACATATAGATTATGTTGATAGCTACATGATAGGATAATGTTTGTAATGTTGCCATATAGTAAGCATTAGCTATTATGTTTTTCAGTCTCCAAATATAGTTTTATTTAAAAGCTCCTTGAATATAAGGCAATAAGAAATAAACACTACTACTGTCTAAAAATGTAAATATAAACATGAAGTCATTGATGGTCTGTAAAAGAGATTATAGTACTGTATTTTAGTTTGTTAACAGCCAGGTATTTTCGGGAGTCTATAAAGTGTTCTGTTAACTTCCATAGCAAATACGTCCTTTCATAGTTCAATGGTAATAGCTAATATGTTTTGAACAGTTATTATGTCTAATAATTCTAGTATCTGAAGTCTCACAGCGTCCTTGTTTCCATCGATTCTGACTCTTGGCAACCCTACGTGTGTCGGAATAGAACTGTACTTTGTAGGATTTTCAGTGCTGATTTTTCAGAAGCATATCGCCAGGCCTTGTTTACAAGGTGCCTGTGGGCAAACTCAAACTGCCAACGTTTTGGTTAGCACCAAGTGATTTAACTGTTTGTATCACCCGGAATGACACCTGAAGTCCTAGTGGGTCTGTGTCTGTTGGTTATTTCTACTGGTTTTCACTCATTGTAGCTTTGTTTCCTTATGTACTTGATTTTGTGTACTTGAAAATTTATTTGTAGGAATAATTTGAGCCCTAAAATTAGGGAAACTTTCCATACAGAGGATTTGTGCTTACTTCTGCTAGGTGTTTGAGACTTCCACTAATTTGAGACCAAGGTTAAGAGCTTGAGGTTTCTTGACAAAGCAGGCTACTGTGTGCCTGGGTTGTAGGGTCATTTGGGACATGGTTTATTTCTGATTCACCTTTAATCTGAGGGTGTAGGTTAAATCTGAGGGCATAGCCTGCTGGCGTTCAGTGTATTGTGAGGTAAGTTTCCTATACTCTCCCTTCCTATGTGAACCTTGGGCTTTAATTTCTATCACACTAGCCCAGGAGCCCTTTAAAAGGAAAATTCAAATCATTAGGATCTGCAAATGGTGGAACTGGCTTCCATGCTCATTCACCTCTCTGATTCCACTTTTCCCTTTCAGTTTTGGCCTGGTAAGTCCTTATGATCTTGTCAGTTGTTTAGTGCTTTTAAGAATACATTTTTAAAATTTTATCCCAGCACTTCTCAAACTTTAATATACAAACGAAATCACCTGGCAATCTTGTTAAAATGCAGATTCTAGTTCAGTAGGCTTGGGGCTGGGCCTGATATTCTGCTTTTTTTTTGTTTTTTTATTGTACTTCAGGTGAAGGTTTACAGAACAAATAGTTTCTCATTAAACAGTAGTACACGTATTATTTTATGACATTTGTTAACAACCCCACGACATGTCAACCCTCTCCCTTCTTGACCTTTTTTTTTTTTTTTGGTGGAAGTATACATAGCCAAAGATACACCATTTCAAAAATTTCTACATGCACAGTTCAGTGACATCGACTACGCTCTTCCAGTTGTGCTGCTGTTCTCACTTTAGATAAACAGTTAGTACACATGTTGCCCCATGACGATAGTTAACAACCTCACTACACATCAACACTGTCCTTACTCAACCTTGGGTTCCCTGTCACCAGCTTTCCCGTCCCCTTCTGCCTTCTAGCCCTTGTCCCTGGACTGCTGTGCCTCATTAGTCCCGTTTTGTTTTATGGGGCTGTCCAATCCCTGGCTGAATGGTGAACCTCGGAAGTGACTTCACCACTGAGCTAAAAGGGTGTCTGGGGGCCATACTCTCGGGGTTTCTCCAGTCTCCTTTAGGCCGGTAAATCTGGTCTTTTTTTTTTGAGTTAGAATTTTGTTCTACATCCTTCTCCAGCTCTGTCCAGAACCCTCTGTTGTGATCCTGGTCAATGGTCTGATATTTTGCATTTTTGACAATCTTCCAGGGAATGTTGATGCTGCTGGTACACAGACCACACTTTAAGCCAGATTTTAGCCACATATTTAGTTATTTTCAGCAAATGGATTCGTTCAGATAACCTAGAAGACCATCATTAGTAGACACCAAACGGAGGACTTATTTAGTCCTAGCTGCTCTGCTAAGCATTTTTATGGAAGCAGGTGCATGTATTTTTCAGTGAGGAGACAGACAGAAAGGTTAAGTAACTTGTGTAGTCACAGGGAAGAGTTGTGGTCAGGGGATTCAGTGTCAGGTCTAACTCCCAAATCCTCCTCCTACTCTTCTGTGTTGCCTTTCTTCTGTTTATTCTGTTTTCTACTGACATATTTTTAAAAGCTTATTTCTGTTTTTAGCATTCTTTATACATTAAATACAGTTTTGAAAGTGTTTCTGATGTACTTTTGATATAAAATGGAGGGTACAGTATACTTCTGATGTAGAATGAAATTGTCCTTATAGTTCATTTTCTTTTCCAGGTAAAATGTATAATAATTGAATTTTTAAAAATTATAGATTTCTTCTGAAAACTATGTGGTGCTGTGACTATTTTTCTTATTTTTAGTCTTAAGTCGATTACCAAAATGATGAGCTTAATGGTGCTCTGAACTGTAGTTACTCGTTTTATTAGGGACTACAAAAATTTTTTAAATACCATGTATTTTCATAATATATACTAGTTTAGATTATGTTTACTGATCTCTCTCTTTTTGACTCTTTCACTTTTCCTTTCCTTCCTTCCACAATATTTTTTATATTTTCAGAAAATGTATACATTTGTTTGGTACCAATATAAAATCATGTAACTTTTGCGCCTTTTATGAGTATCATAAAAGAGTGGAGTTGAAATAATCACAGTAGAAAAGGTTTTCTTTCACAAAAATATTGAAGTGGTCTTTTTAGACAGTAATAACAAGTTGATACTTAAGGAGTTCGGAAGTTGTGAATGTGATAGAACCTAACCTTTGAAATGATGTAATGGAAAGGTATTATCAGTCTTAATTTTTAGTATTTAGTGAGTTTTTTCATTTGTCTAAATAATCAATATTTTCTATTATAGGGAGGTGCTGTAGCAGGAAATGTGGCTCATATACTGGACTCCAATCATGGAAAGGTTAGTTTGCCCCAGTACAAAGGGAATGGTCAACTTGATAAATAATGTTGATGAAAGAATAAAATTATGTTTCTACGTGGCTTTAGGGGTTATATCATCAAATACAGTCCTGCTTTTAGTCACCTTGAAAGACAGGGAGCTATAAAGGGAATTGGTCAACACACTTCTTTTCTCTTATGTAGAAGGCATTACTGTACACTGCAGTAAATCAGGTGGCCATGGGAAGCAGTTCAGCTGAAGATGAAAAAAATATTGCTGTAAAGACCATTCAGAAGGCAGCTCTCCTTTCTCCAGGTGAATATAGTGTAATCCATTTCTTTAATTCGGATTCTGTTAATCTTGGATTTGTGACTTACAGGGGCAAAGTTTATTTCTATGAAATAAGACCAAAAGGGAATTTTAAGAAAATGTTTTAAAATTTTGCCAGTCATTTGATTATCTGCATTGGGATGCTAATAATTAAGAGAGAATCAATTATTGAAGCAGGTTGAAAGGAATGTCTGGTTAAAGATACTTTAATACCAGTTATTGAAAATCTGAATTATATATTTTCAAGTAGCTTTATTTCTTTTTTTTTTAATCAGTCTGGTTTAATGAGGTTTATCTACAGCTACTAAACACATTCAGTTATTTTTACATGTAGTTAGCTCCTTGAAGGGAGGAGATACATCTTGTGTGGCCTCACTTGAGCTGGTTTTTCTTAATTCTAATCAGCTATGTCATATGTATGTTGCCGATCATAAAGGGTACTGAGGAGTTGCATATGACTGCCAGCGTTCTTCCATTACCATTCCTGGGAAAATGACTTAGAAGACTGAAATGTCTAGTGTTGTAGGGTTATGAGGTATATTGTTATTATTTTAAATATGAAATACAGCATTAAACAATGTATACCCCCAGAGCACATCAACCATTTGTTAGGTCTGAATGTTATTGCTTTTGGCTAGGGACTGTTGGGAAACAAATTGTAACAAAGAACAGGTTGAATGCTATCTTCACAATAAATTGTAAACATCCTAACTAAACTGCAAAATATCTAACATTTCAGGGATTATTTTATAAAACAAGTAAACAAAGCAATATCCTGTTGTTTATCCTTTCTTTAATGTTTGAAATAGAACAAAAAGAGACCTTAAACATTTAGACTTGTCCCTGGTGGTGCAGTGGTTAAGAGCTTGGCTGCTAACTGAAAGGCTGGCATTTGGAATCCACCAGTTACTCCTTGGAGACCTTATGGGGCAGTTCTGCTCTATCCTGTAGGGTCACTATGAGTTGGAGTCACTCGATGGCAATGTTTTTTTTTTTGTTTGTTTGTTTGTTTGTTTGTTTTTTAATATCATGTATTGGTTAAGTTCCTAATTTTTGAAAGCAAATATTAGATTGAATTACTCTCAAGAATCCTTACTGTGGATCCAGAATGATAGAAGATCTATTAGCTTTTAATTTTGTAAGGGGCATAAACTTTAGAAAGGTAAGATTGCCCAGGTATGTTCTTCTATAATTAACTCCTCCAATTTTCCATAATCTGGAGAAATGGATACTTAGGGAAGTAGAGTCATCAGTTAAAATGCTTTGAAATAGACATTGAGTGATGAAGATGAGCGCTTGTTGGAGGCTTGTCCTTGGAAACCAATGAAGTGAATATAATTGGAGTTAGGTACGGTAGCTGTAAACCTAGTCCTTACAGATCTTTAGTTAAGCAAAGCATGGTATTGATAAATGGTACTCAAAGGAGTCTTTTCAGGAATTTAAATATAATCTCCAAAATTTAGAATCATCTTTAAAAGGAGTCTAATTTCTGCTAGATTAGAGCTTCTGTTACACTAAGAGGTAGATGTGTTTTTAGCAAACTGTATTTTAAAATCTTTCAGTTTGTAGTTACATGTTATTTCAGAGCCAATTTGTTTCATAGAGAACTTGAGCTGCTGATTGTCTATGGAAGAATTAATGGAAACAGCAATTCTTTTGTACTGTGATGGAAAAAATTACTGCCAGCTACTGCTTACACCTTATCCCCAAAATCTAAACTATAGAATATCTAAGATCCCTAGAGGAGTTGTTCACTTAATCATAGGAGTAAGTCAATATTCTGAAATTTAGTCAACTTCAGTTGGAGTTATAAGATTTTAGACCTGGATGGTATCTTAGCTATCATCTAGTTCGGTTACCTTGTTTTATAGAAAAATGAGTCCAAAAGGAAAAGCTGCCAACCAGTTAATTAGTGGCATTGCTAGACCTAAAATCCAGATCCAAGGCTCGATTATATACCTGTCATTACAGAGCAGTCAGATGTCATCATAAATTCTAGTAAATGGTTCCCATTTCTTTATTCTGGAATTTGATTATATCTCAATGTTGTTGAAAATAAGGTAGTCATTATCTGGAACAGAAATTATTTTATAATATGGCATTGTATATTTAATTTTTTATAAAATTTTTTAACTGCATAAGATTTCTAATGATTGTTGTGCTGTTAGCAGTAAGAGTGATCATCTATAAATAAAATAGATGTTCAGATGACTCTCCGTATCCACAGGTTCTGCATCTGCGGATTCAACTAAAGCGGATTGGAAGTGTTTGGAAAAAAAATGTTACATTGATGCTGATGTGTACTATGTAATTAGACCTGCCATGGTAGCATCTGTACTGAACATGTGCAGATTTTTTTTTCTTGTCATTATTCCCTAAACAATAAAGTATAAAAACTATTTATATAGCATTTACATTGTATTAGGTGTTATAAGTAATCTAGAGATGAGTTAAAGTATATGCAAATACTGTGTCATTTTATATGGGACTTGAGTATCCTCGGATTTTTGTATCCATGGGGGATCCTGGAACCAATCCCCTGCGGATACCAAGGGATGACTGTATGTTTGACACATGAGAGGAGAGGTATATTAGATGAGAGAGTCAGGAAAAAAAATAAAACTAAAGCTGAAAGTATATTTAAATGACTGTATTGTTAGCTGTCACTCCTTTCTGTGGATTTTAAATGTATTTATTTGTTTTGTAAGGGTCAACCCAAAAAAACCCACTGCTATCGAGTTGATTCCAACTCATAGCAACCCTACAGGACAGAGTAGAGCAGCCCCATAGGGTTTCCAAGGCTGTAAATATTTACAGAAACAGACTGCCATATTTTTCTCCCACAGAGCAGCTGGTGGGTTCGAACCACCAACCTTTTGGTTAGCAGCTGAGTGCTTTAACTGCTGTACCACCAGGACTCCTCTTTTTAAGGGTAACAAGACTAAAATATTAACCATTGAAGTGAATTACAAAATACTATTTATAGAAATAAAAGACTAGACAAAAAATTCCTGTGTTCCAGATCTCCTTCCAGCTCCTCCTTTTCACAAGTAGCTTTCTTAAAAAGAGGAGTGTATACTCATAATCTCTTCCTGTTATTATCTCCTCAACCCCCTACTGTCAGACTTGCCCCAATTCCCTGAAGCTGCTGTCAAGGCATGAAAGAAGAAGGGCAGATCAAATGAATGAAGAATTATATAATCATATAATTGTTTCATTTGGAATGATAAAGTGACTTGCATGTTTGGCTGTTAGAACATAAATTAAAAGACTACTTTTCCTTCCTTTTGGCTTCAACTTTTTTTAAGAACCAAAAAACTGTGTTATCTTACTTTTCTTGTGATTAAGCCTTTAAACCAGGGACTGAGTGATGAAGATGAGTGCCTGCTTGAGACTTGTTCTTGGAGTCCAGTGAAAGTGAATGTAATTGACCTTTCCACAGTAGCGCAGTACTTTAGACAACTGAGCTAACCAGCCATGAAAGAAGAGCTTGATATAGTATTTCTCATTCTTTGATGTGTTTGGAAAAATTGGCAAGTCTTAAAGGATGAATGTAGTAATTTAGTTTTCCCTTACGAAAGTGAAATTTTGGGTGAGGATGTCTGGAGATACAATTTTATTTATTTATTTAATTTGTAAACTCTTACTCTCATTTTTGATAAATTTTTAGCCACGTGTTGACATTAACAAACCATCTAATTGTATTTCCTGTCTTTAGGGGACCCTGCTGTCTGGGCCGTGCTAATGGCAGCCTGTTATGCTGATGATAAACTGGCCCTAGTGAACAACACTCAGCCAAAGAAGATGGATATATACTTGGCTCTGTTATCTGCTATTTCTGCTTCAAGTAAGTTTTAAAAAGCAATTTATATTTGATTTAATTCAGGCTCCTTAAATGGTTAATATCAGGAACACAAACGTCAGTTGCATATGTTACAATAAAAAATGCATTCATTAAAGAATCAACAGGTATAATGTTGTTAGCTGCAGTCATGTCTAACCCTCCCTCACCCCTAACTCATGACGGCCCCCTGTGTAATAGAGTAGAACTACTTCTTAGGGTTTTCTTGGCTGTACTCTTTACAGAAGAAGTTCATCAGGTCTTTCTTCTACCAAGCTGCTGGGTGGGTTCAAACCACCAACGTTTATGTTAGTAGCAGCTGATCGCAAACTACTTGTGCCATCCAGACTCTTAAATAGGTATGATAGCCATATAGAGATACGATGGGTGTGTATATTTTCTTTTCCTATATAACTTAAAAGTTCAGTATATTCTGTCAGCTAAAAATCTTTGTTTTGTAGAGTTTACCTCTTTTGAGCCTTGACCAATGTTTTAAGATAGATATGACCAGAAAAGAGTTCTTTACTGAAACCAGCACTGAAATTGCCCAGTGATTCTTCCTGAGAATCTTGGCCAGAGAAGGCAGTTAATCTAATCAGATTTAGTTAACATTGTCTTGTAAATCTATAAATCTCATCATTGAAAAGTTGATCTATATATAGCATCAAAAATAGAATAGCCTACTTTTGTCTTGGGACAATAGTTTTTCATTGAATTATTTTTAGGTTATCAATAAATATTAAGCATTCTGTCTTTTGTGGACAACCAGGGCAAATTAACAAAAGCAGGCCCTTAACAACACTATTATGTAGAGTTTTTTATAAGATTGAGGCAGAGATTGTCAATAATAGGAACCCAACAAAAATATGGATAAAAGATTTGAACTGACAACAATTCTCTAAAGAAAATACATAGATGGCAAATAAATGCATGAAAAGAGGCCGAACACGGTTAGTCATTAGGGAAATTGAAATCACAGTGATATACCACTAAACTACTAGAGTAGCTAAAATTTGACCATAGCAAATGTTGAGGATGTAGAGCAATAGAATGCTCCTACACTGCTGATGGGGATATAAAATTGTTCAGCCACTTTGGAAGAGTTTGACAGTTAATTTAAAAAATAACCCAACCATTGTACTCCTAGATGTTTACCCAAGAGTAATGAAAACATGTGTTTGCAAAAAGACTTGTACTCAGATGTTCATAGCAAGCAGATTTATAACTGGAAACAACCTAAATTTCCGTTAGTGGGTGAAATGATAAATTGTGGTAAAGCCGTACCAGTGAAATACTGCTCAACAATGAAAAGGAATGAACTGTTGACACACAAAACAGCATCAGTGAATCACCAAATAATCATACTAAGTGAAACACTCCAGACGAAAAGAGTGTATACTATATTATTTCATTCATATAAAATTTTAGAAAAATCCAAATAAGTATTGTGAAAGAAAACAGATTAGGAAGAAAACAGATTAGTAGTTGCCTGGGGACAAGGTAAGGGAGGGTTAGGGTGGGTTGGTGGCCAAAGTAATTACGAAGGGGCAGGGTGAAATCATTATCTTGATTGTAGTGATGATTCATAGATGTATACTCATATTGAAACTCATTCAATTGTACAGGTTGCCTAAGTACACACAGTTTATTGTATGTCTTCTAATGAATTCTTAAAAGTATTACTAAGATATAATGATTTTTGATGTAATTCAGAAGTAGATAAGGTCTTAAGTTGTTCAGCCACAAATACTAACATGAAACTTTTATATCAGGATAGACTGGTATTCCAGTGGCACATATAATGTTTAAAAGTTTTGTATGCATGGTCAGTCTAATTATAATACCTCTTAGCAACTACTTACTCCTATGAGAACACATTATATATGGCAGAAGAAAGTAACATTGACTTTTTTTTTTTAAATAGTTAAAGACAAAGAATTCCCTGAAAATTACAACCAATCTCTTGAAAAGTGGTCTCTCTCACAAACTGTCACTGGTCTAATAGAAACTGGAAGAATATCTGAAGCTGAAGCCCTCTGCACAAAGGTATTGTTATGGAGCTGGGCATTGAGATGCATGGATTCTTATCCGACTTGGAAAATAAGTTCAAAAATGGAGTGCTTATTATTTAGAGAGCACGTGGTGATGGTGATGATGATAACAGCCAACATTTATCGAGTACTTGCTACAAGCCAGTCCTATGTTTAGCATTTTGTATTTAACTTTCATAACAATCCTACGACGCTGCAGGTACTTATTAGTGTTCCTGTTTTCACAAATGAGAAAACTAAAGCTTACAGAGGGTGGATGATTTGCACAGGAGCTCATAGCTAGAAACTGATGGAGTTGCCATTTGAACTCATATTTATTTGCCTGACTCTAAGACCCAAGCTCTTAATAGATTTTTTTTTTTTTAATATCATTAGGGAGGCAGTATTTTTTTTTTTTT